AAGAAGCATTGCTCGTATATCGTGGGACAACCGAGTAAGCAATGCTATAGTTAGGAAACGAGTACTAGTTAAGGATGGTAGATCAATAGATGAAGTAATGAAACTTCATGATTGGGACATGTGTTACGAATTCCTAACCACCGACTGCATCGACGGGCTTTGTTTTGCAGTGTAGGAGTAAGTTGGAAGAAAGAAAGGGGCGGCCAGACCAAAACATGGCAGAAATCCATGAAGTCACTGACAAGTGGACTGAGTCATGTTGGTAGATGTAGACTACCTGGTTGGGGTCCGCGAGACGAAAGTCATCAATGGTTAGAGACCTTGAACGACATGGCTCAAAATCGTTTGCATTGGCTCAGATGCATCCATTCTTTGAGCTCTCTCAAATCCTAATCTTCTGGATTCGTCAGCACCTCTACCTTTGTCTTTCTAACCTTATCTCACTGAATTATACTTCTTGAATAATATCTTCAAACTCTAGTCTTCTTCATTACCATTAATACCTCTACTATCTTTGGCAACTACGTGTTTCTTTCCGAATGCTTCCTCAAGAAGCTCTAACGCTTTACGATTAACTTCTCCCAGTTGAAGCAATGTGCAATGAACATTTGTAGCTTTAGCTTCACCATCACAATATTGAATCAAGTAGTTTAATTTAGATCGAGGTCCGACGCTTTCATCAAAACAATCCTCGAAATTTCGTATGAAACTGCAGTAGTTCATAGGATTACCATCGAACCTTATGATTTCTCGCTTGGGTAGGTCTAAAGCTTTGGATATCATTCCTATCCAGCCCTTTCCTGCACTATCAGCTGTACGTGAATCGGATGTAGATTCGACCGACATACACTTTTCATCCTGGATTTGGTTACAATATTCTTTTCCTCTTTGCCGTAGTCGTTCTAACTCAATTTCCTTTTCCATACGATCTAAACTTACTTTAGCTGATTCGAATTCCATCAAAGGATCAATTCGGAGGCTATTTCTTCCAAACTGGTCTTCATTATGAGTTTCTGAATAGTGTGGAGACAATTCAGGTATTTGATCACTCTTATGATCCTCCGTAGACATTTGAAGATATTCAGTATATGAACCTTTGATGAATTACTGTCCGAAACTATGTAGGATTAAATTTGTCCTACAGATGTAATACTAAGAACGTAAACGCGAATACCGTCGATGACAGAATCCAGAGTGAAACTATAGTTAACAGAAGACAATTTGGTTTTTAAACTTTATCTGTTTCCAAACAAAAGAAAACGAATAATTTGGTACAATAAATAAGGAAATTACAATTATCAAGCAGGATGAGCAAACGTGCCGGACAGTATAGCGTATCTTTAGAAAATGAATAAAAACATGAGTCACAGCAATATAAATAAAATACTAACATCATTCAATCGATAGACCATTCACAACAAAGAAAGGTTACAGACCGGTCAGACTATATATAACATGGTGACCGCTTAACCAATCTGATTGGTTAGTTATGGCAAAACTACAGTTAGTTATGGAAATAACTAACACTCACCCCGAAGCATTCACCACGTCCAGACCTCTTTATCGTGGCGTTCAAGTAGTCAGCTACCTCTAGTAGGCATAGGTTCCGTAGCCATCTACTCCAGAATAGATCAGCCAGATTTTGAGCTTCAATGATCCAGTACTCTTCGCGATGACTGTTCATGGTATGAGTAATACCAGAATGTGCGTTCTGTAGATGGAAGTGCATTACGATGAGGTCGGTAACAAAGTGCTTATTAGGAAGTATGAGTGGATGTTTGCTTTCGAAAGGTAAGCACGATAGTTGAATTCGTCCTCCTACTCTAATCATGTTATCTACTCTCATTCTTTTACCAGCAGATATTAAATGAGGTATCATTTCCTTATTCGAAGCAAATCCAGCTACTTTCTTCGGTCTTTCTCGAGATTCATATTCTTTGCCGCTCTCTTAATCATGCTGTATTTGCTTTAGTGCTTCCATCTTCATAGGGAATGAGACCATTTGAACCAATTTGATTATATCCTGTTTCGCGCTATCGATTTCTTTCAGTCTCAACCTACCATAAACTAATGGTCTTCTGTCGAACTTCATTCTCATATTACGGGCGAACCGTTTACATAAAGCGAATATTCTCATCATTCTGAACCATGTCTTACTATCACTAAATCGATTCAAAAATTGGTCTGAGCAACTCTTCGTTGATGTCTCGCCTAGTTCTTCTATCGACAAGTGAGCTAAAACATGTTTCTTTTCTTCGGGTGGACATGGCCATAAAAATTTCGGTCTACGGAACCACTCATTTAGTTTGATGCTATCGTCTGACGACAAACCACGTGAAGCATGATTCACAGGGTTATGTATACCTTTAACGTACCTACATTGCTTTACCATAGAAAGTTCATGAATCGTTGCTAACCTGGTGTTCACGAATCTCTCAAATCTTTTGGTTGTATTTCTTATGTAATGATATACAATTAATGAATCCGTCCAATAAGTGACAGAGGAGATAGGGATACGCAGTTGTTGTTCCACATGTTTTCCAATTTTAGCACATAGTACGGCCGCCCTTAATTCCATTCTGGGCATAGTGACAAGTCTTAGTGGAGCGACCCTAGATTTATCTAGTAGAAGCGAGCAGTGAGACTGGCCTGAAGCGCCCTCATATCGAATATACGTAACAGCAACATACGCAAGCTCTGAAGCATCGGCAAAACAATGGATTTCAATGGATAATGGTTCAAACTTCGGTTTTAGACATCTTGGTATTCTTCAGTGACCCAACTCCTTTATATGTCTACACCAAACATTCCACTCCGCTTGAAAATTTATGGGTAGCTCTGCGTCCCAGTCTAATTTCTGCCGACAAGTGTCTTGAAGAATTATTTTAGCTGGTAGTATTGCGGGGGCTACGAACCTTATGGGATCAAATATAGATGCTACGTACGACAAAATATTTCTCCTGGTTAGTTTTCCATGAAACTCGTGAACTTTGAAACCTAATTCATCTGTTCTAGTGTTCTACTCTAACCCCAATGTTCGTCTACTCATCTCGTTTGATTCGCACACGGCAATGCTTCCTTCGGTACGATCATTCTCCGGAATGAACTCCAGCACTTCAAGGTTGTTGCTCGTCCATTTAGTTAAGTTAAATCCTCCCAGACTGAAGAGTCTTCTGAAATACGAATAAGTCAGTTTAGCTTCTTCTATAGTATCCGCAATTATCAATAAATCGACCACATAAATTTGTTCCTTAGCTGCTTGCGTAACAACTTGGAAAAATTTATCTTGGTTATCGGAAATCGTTTTTTGCAGGGCAAACGTAGCGCAACATGGTGATGAGGTTGCTCCGAACAGATGGAATTTCATTCTTTAGACCTCTGGCTCTTTCTCCAAATTTCCACCTGGCTACCACAAATACCTAAGAACGTCTCGGTCGTGTATCGGGACCATTACTTGATGGAACATGGCTTCGATGTCTGCCGTAAGGCCAATGGTCGTAAGCCGAAACCTGGTTAAGACGTCTACTAAGGTAATAACTAGATCAGGCCCAGAATGAAGATTTTTATTTTGAGACGTTTCAGCGTACTGAGCCGTGCAATCGAACACTATTCTTAACTTATCGGGCTTCTTGGGATGAAAGACAGGGTGATGAGGAAGATACCATATTCGTCCATTAGAGTCTTTATCATCTACCTTCTCGGGCGTAATCCTTTTCTATATATGGCCATAGTATTCATAGTCTTGAAACAGCTTCGCATCCCTGACAAGACTACCTCTTAAACAGTGAGTCTATGCTCTGCTAATTTTTTATTATTAGGCAGCTTATGTTCATGCCTCCACGGCAGAGCTATTTGGTAGTGTCCATTTAGCTACATCAGTCAGACTAGATGACGTGGTGAGCGCTTAACCAATCTGATTGGTTAGTTATGACATAACTACAATTAGTCATAAAATAACTAACATTATATTTCTTGAATAATATCTTCGAACCCTAGTCTTCTTTATTAACATTGATACCTCTACTATCTTTATCACTATGCGATTTGATTTGACATTTGCGTCTCTATGCTGTGGTATGGCAACATGAACTTATGTACATACGTACGTAGTTCTACGTTGCAACTGACTGACTGACTAACGGCCATGTTACACAGCCATATAGGAGAACGGAGCGAACTGCTGCGCAGTACACCCGTCCTTTGGTTAGCGAACGGATATCACGCCTACGCCATAAGTGACGCAAGTTGGCAAAAGCCACTCGAGCCTTCTATATCCGTGCTGAGTTTTCGTCAGTCACCAGGCCATCGGCACTGATGAGACTCCCAAGATAAGTGAGGCGGTCTACACGTTCGACTACTTCACTCTTTGTCGCTTGTTCAGGTGCCGATGCAACCCAGTCTTGAAACAACCTTTTGCATTTCGAGGGGGAAAACCGCATACCGAATATGCTCGCATTGCTGCTTATGGTAGTCAGAAGACTCTGCATTTTGTCAGCGTCTTCACCAAATAGGACTATGTCGTCGGCATATTCTAATTATGATTCAGTGAAAGAAAGCGAAAGATAGTCAGTGACCGGACTTTGGTGGATAAGATTCGTTAACGATTCTTTCTGAAGTACTCAAATCAATCTAATCTGTAAGCCAGAAATCAAGTAATTTCATGAAAATCATTAGAATATTTCCCTATAGAATTCACGATACATATTACGTTTACCATTTGAGTTATGTTTGGCAAACCTCAAAAATAAAAAAAATATGTCACTACTCTCTAGCATCGATGAATTTACTTCGAAGAGGGTTTGTTAATTGAATAGATTAATATCGTATTTAGTGCTATTGGGTTCATTGTTTCAAGTTTAAGGTATTTTTAATCAGTACGTAAATATAAATGAAGTAGAAAGTAGAATAGTTATCAAGCAAATTAATAAATTTCGCTTCTTCCAAATCCATTATAAAAATTAAAATCACCCAAACGCTATTTTGTTTTTCATTCCCTCTAGTTAAATTAATACGTTTTATCAGCTCAATATGTCGCATCACTTCTATTCATACACGAACAGTTAATCAAAATACTATTGACACAACAGTATCTACATGTATAGATACTTACTTTTGGCCAGGGATGAGTTATCAACGTGCGAAATTTTTACTGGATATTATTGAAACTTCATTAGGTGTTCTTAATTTAACATCGACTGGTCCATGGAATAGAAAATCCAGTAAATGGAGATCAGACTTTGGCAAAGGTAAATCATTAGAGACTGATGATATATATATATATATATATATATATATATATATATATATATGTGTATGTATGCATATATATACTCAAACGCATTTTCTCCAGTTAGTAATGAATGTTTTAGTGTTTTTAATTTCCATGATAAAATTGTTCACCCGCTATTAATACTCTGTGAGCAAAATATGACTGTAGTTGATTTCTTTTATTGAAATTCATCTCGATGGAAAACGCTCATACTCATTATAAAATGTACAAGTATGTTCAACTGGTAAGTTATGAGTAAGTATCCCGGAACGCTTGTCCAAAATTCCATTGACAGCTGTACCTAGTATAAGTTTGTGTCTAATGTAAATTGAAAGGACACTTCAGCCCTGTGATATCAAGCAATTAATGTTGAAAAAAACTAATGGTTGCATATTTATTGAACATTGGTTATCAAATCAACTAACTGTTGGTTCAGTTACAAGTTGTGTCCAATGCAATTAGTCAAGCCACATTTTAACATTCGATACAATGTGAAATAAGGATTATGACAAAAAAGGAATTAAGATAATGTTAAAAATCTTTAATCCTATTATAGATGATCTACTCATAATGACTAGAAATTCAGAATTCATTCATGAAGCCTGTTTATCTTTATTCAGTAAATTGCAATATCCAACAATGGGTAGGCTGTAATTGGTAATCTTCAGAATAAAAGCATTAACAGCATTTGAGTTTAATGACTTTAAATTTTTTTTGAAATCATAGATTTTATATATTTCATGTCAATAGCGAAGTCTTTAAACATTGTGTTACACATGCACGTAAACATGTCAATTTGATATGCTTGAACTATTACGAGTTTACCTTAGCCGGAAAACGAGAGTGAGGATCGAGGATCCGGCGACACGACATACTGCTCTAATCCGAACGTCTCAAAACCCCATTGACTAAAAGAAGACTTGATATAAAGTAAAACCTGTATTCTCCAAGCATCCAGAAAGTACGGGGTCCGAGTCCAGAAGAGAATTAGGATTCTGCACTAGGGATCCGTGTCCGGGTCCGGGTCATAAAACGTTACAGATAATGCGTATTTATACATTTAGGTCGAGAAGGTCAAATTACCAAGTTTATTATCATAGTTAATGAGATGAACAGTGGTATGACATACTGACTTAATATGATCAATTTCACTACACTTAGAAACATTCAGCATTACGACATACACATGATTTTGGTGAATAAAATTTATCACAAGATAAACGTTTGCCAAACTTGTACTCACCTTGATGTGGCGCTCAAACGTAATTATGAGTAACGTTGCGAATGTACATCAGTTAAGTGTAAATCACAAATTTATGTACTGTTTTTTTGTTAGCAAAACAATGCTTTCCTCTTGTATGTTATATTTGCTTATAATTTAGAGACATATATTTAAATCATATTTATCGATTGAGATTAGGTTACAAGAAAGTTGAAAATGACCTCCTTAGATAATTCTGTTGGTTTTAGGCGGATAGTAAAAAAAGTCCATGATGTTATGAGTTGAGAATGTTAGCCAAGTGATATCTAGAGAAATATTTGACTGTAAAATATAAATTGAATTAAATACGTTTTTTCTTGTCTTGTCTTAGTTATCTTTCAAGGAAGTTATGAAGGTCTAAGTAACTATTATCAAAATACTGTATACTTCAATATCTTTTTTAATGAATGAATTATTTCTATGTGATTTTTTTATGCACGTTAAACGTGTTGTAAAGGCAATAATTATTGAATTTGGAGATGAGAATAAAATAAGTAGTATTGTATTTACTGGTTCATTATCTGTAAACTGTAAACGGCGAATAATAATAATGATAATAATAATAGTAATAATAATAATAATAATAATAATAATAATAATAATCCAATCAACGAATATCAGTTGTTGTTATAATCAAATTTTTGTATTTTCTTTTAAGTTACTTACATATTACAGGTAGTATGATTGTATCTTATTTATTTTCAAAAAATTTCAATCTGGATTTAGATTCATCATACAATTTACGGACATTAATCGATAATATTTCTGCACAATATAATTGGGATTATAAATCCACTAATTTCTTACGATATTTATTGAACGGGCTACTCTATGTCAACTCAGATGTAAGTTGTTATTTATTATGTGGAAAAAAGAACACATTTAATGTTATCTTTGTTTGTGTTTATGGTCAGGTTTGTGTACAGATATGCTCACACACTTATGTATATTGATTAATGACTACTACGTTTAGATTTCGGTATTGTTTTTAAGTTCACAATCACATGCAGAGTGAAGCATAGGATTGTCGATTGGAGCACAAGCGTTCTGAAAAGTCGAAAACCAGAATAAAACAACTGATAGTGTTTGTAATATCCTGAAATGTAATCAAGTGACTTGCCATAACTTACTTACTTACTCCTGTTACCCCTTGTTAAGCATAGGCAGCTGACCAGCATTCTCCATTAAACTGTAACCTGAGCCTTCCTTTCCTTTTGTTGCAAATTGTTATTCATTCTTTTGATGTCTGCCTCCAGTTCTCAGCGCAATGTGTTCTTTCGTCTACCTGTTTTCCTTTGGCCTTGATGATTCTAAATTAGAGCTTTTTCTTTGACGCAGTTTGGTGATTTCCACAATATGTATCGAAATCTTCTTAACTTTGAACTGCCGAATTATTTATGAATATTGTAGTTGGATGAACTTTCTCTAGCGTTTCAATGGTTGTGTTTTGTTCACTTCGTATGAATTTATAAATACAATTACCGAGTGATACAAGATTTTAGTAAATGGTCTAATTTTAAATGAGATTATTTAGTGACTTGATGTATTTTAGTAAATAAAATTCCCAATAATTGGCTTCTTGTCTCCTGTGCATCATCGCTATTAAATATCCGTTTGAATATTTGCTAATTCTATCTTGACAGTAGCATCGTTTATTTTTTCAGTGCAATTACTTTATTGATAACACTTGCTGTCTTTTTCCAAATATGTAATTATGTACTGAAATTTCAAAATAAATTTATATCATTTATTTCAACATCCAAATACAGCCTTTTGTTTTAATTAGCTGATATTCATAAAATTTTGATTCGATACAGATTCGCTTTATCAAATTCGTTTAGTTACTAGCTAATTATAGAAAAGATCAACTTTGCTCAATTTACACTATGACATGTTTTAATTTTGCTTGAATGTTTTAGCTCCAGTCACAAATTTTATCGATTGTTTATGATCATTGGATTGAAAATAAAGAGGCATTGAAGGAAGTGATTTATCCCACAATGGTTGATTTGGCTTGTTCATGGTGCGATACTCCATGGTGTTCAGTTTATACATCTGGGTCAAATATTTTAACATTTTGTGGTACCAAGTAAATTTCGTACATTTAATTTTGTTGTTAAATTTTAACTACTGAATACTTTGTTAGTATATTGTCTTTTCTCTGTTTTTTTACATCATTTATAATGCCACAATTTGTGGATTCATATCACCTATAGTAATTGATTTATTATCATATCGAGCTAAATATGGTCCATTTCATGACCTTCACATACCGTAGTATTTATCTGTAATCGCCATGCCTACAGATATTAGGTTTTCTGCCGATTTTAAAATCACAAAACTATCAACTTTTCACAATTATTCTGTACACTGTTGCTTAGGAACCTTTGATATTCTTTTCTTCATTTCATTTTAGTGAACTATGGGATTCTGCCTACTTTGGTGCAGATATTCGTACATGGTTTTTAAGTAAATTGAAAAGGTCTTCTGACTTAGTTTGGATGATCAACAACAGTCTTGGTAATGCTGATTTAGCCATATTTAGTGGTAAATTACTTCATGTTGTTCAGTTTCAATCTGGTCTAGGTAAGTGGCAAAGTGTAAATTTGTGTGCTTTGATAGTTTTTTAATGTATATACACAAATATTAATTGTAGATTATACTTTAAATAATCAATTGTATGATTTACTGGTTACAATGAAACGTTATTTCGAAGAATAGTATATAGCTGATATGTTTCATACTTAATAAAATGGAGATTGAAAACTAACTAAACTGTTTATGTAACGATATCATACTCTAATGGGAAATGATTAGTTCACCGATTCCAAGTATACACAGTTTCTGATCTTTTATCGTGAAACTTTTACTATTTCTATAAAAAGTCGATAACATTTGGTATATATTTTTTAAAGTCTGTCATCTTATTCTTTAACATTATTCAACATTACATTATCCATTTTAGTCGGTAATCAGTTAAACTGTGATTTAGTGTGGTGATTGAGTAAGCGATGCTGTCGTTGTGAAACCGGTCCTGGGTAAGGATGTCAGATCAGTAGATGAAGTATTGAGACTGCATCAGTTCAGGTGGTTGAGACATGTGTTGCGAATTCCCAACCACCGACTTCCTCGACGAGCTATGTTTTGTAGTGTAGGAGTATGTTGGAAGAAAGCTACGGGAGTCCAAACCAAAACATGGCAGAAATCCATGAAGTCGCTGACAAGTGAATTGAGACATGTTGGTAGATGTAGGCTACCAGGTTGGGGTCCTCGAGATGATAGTAATCAATGGTTAGAGATCTTGAACGACATGGCTCAAAACCGTCTGGAATGACGCAGTGTGTTCTCTCAAATCCTAATCCTCTTGATTCTTCACCTCTTCTATCTTTCTCTTTCCAAGTTTATTTCACTGAACTATATTCCTTGAAAAATATCTTAGATCCATACTATTCTCTATTGCCAGTAAGTCTTCTACTATCTCTACCGCTATGGTTTTCGAAGTGACAATTACATCTCTGTGCTGATGCTGTATGGAAACCTGAGCTGATGTACTTACGTACGAAGTTCTAGATTGTAACTGACTGAGTGAGTATGGCAATTCGAATCGTTTCACTTATGTATCAAGTACTGTGTTATTTGTGACTATGATTGAGTAAATGATGGATTCATTCAAATTTTTATTGTACTTTATGTAAACTACTATTCAATAGTTTTAATTCTTAATCATCAGTAAAATGAGATTTTTCTGTCAAAATTAAGCCAGGAAGGAGAGTTGTGTTGGTGTTTTTTCTCAAGTTCTTAATTGTAGAAAATTGACAAAGAAATTTTATTTTGTTATATTGATTTTCTGAGTTCCATCTTTTTTTTCCTAATGATTTATTTATCAGTAATGATACTTGATTTTTGAGGTTTAAAGCAAAATAGGTTTTTCTTTTACCTTGAACATCTGCTTAATAGTGTTTCTTTTTTTTTCATATATTTAGCTGATATAGGATAACTAACTTATCAAATGAGATAAGATTATTTATAGCTTTTTTTTTAAATCTATGCTAGATTATCATAACTATATATATCTTAAACTAAATAATAAAAATTCTCATCTTCTTAGTTATGAATGCATTAGGCCAATGGTAAACGGTTAGGTTTCGTCTTATAGGATCAAATTCAAACTTGATGATAGTACAGCAACTAATATCATACAAGAACAATAACAACATTTTAGCCTTAATAATTCATACGTGAATAACATATAGATAAGATGAGACTTTCAGGGTGGCTTTATGTATTCCAAATGGAGGTCAAAGATATTAGAATTGAAGTAGAGCAATTCTGTGTTTATATTGTAATATACAATACTTTTGGACACAACAAAAATAGCAATTTAAAAGTACTAACAATCCTGAGAGGTGTAGGAGTCGTGGATGCGCACTGTTGATGAGTCGCACACCAAGACGAGACGACCGTCCAGTGCTTCCAGGTTTCTAGTGGTGGTCTCACAATGATTGATTGATTGATGGTTTCACTGTGTAGTAACAATCCATCAAATCACAGCGAAAGTTATTGCAGTTCTCCTCACGAGTTAGAACTATCTTTTATTAACAAAGAACTAGATGACGTTTGATCTTCCTAGCAATGTTATAAATTCGCATACTTGCTAACAATAAAACAGATGATTAGATTTTGAAACCTTTGTTATCTCTTTATATATTAAATGAACAGTTATTGATTATGAAGATACATTCTTAGACTGGAACATTTTTGTACACATCTTTGCATTGAACTTTGATTGAGCTTATTAAAAGTTTATGATTTCTCGTTGTTGATATTTATGACTGTAATTTGCTGTGTGTGTTTCCTCATCGAACTGCCCTCTATATGATGTTCAGCTAACAGCGAAATTCAGCTCTTGCATTACCTCGTACTTAGGACTTGTTGATTGTCTCTCTCTGCCTCTTAGTATTAATGTCCTCAGCAGTTCTGTGGAAAACACTTTGATGGTCTGGAACGAAATTTACTGGATTCGATTGTTAATGTGTTGGAGGTATATTCAGACAACCTGTCCCAGATAAGATGAAACGCACGTAATGTAATGTAACTCCTAGTCACAGATCAAGTATTGTGTGGCTTAATTATTTTTGTTCATGTTTTCCGATACTGAATCCTTATTTCTATTTTGGATTAAGTTTGTCACCTTTTCTCATATTTATTGTTGAATTAACGTGTGATTTGAACTGAAAACTTCATTTCTCTGTGCTATTATGGTATAGCGGCTTGCACTGCTGTACGTATGTACCAAGTTCTACTTTGTAGCTGACTGACGAATTTACTTTATCATATAAATGTCGTATCTACTGTATAATAATTACTTATTATCTTATTAAAAGAATTGGTTTTTTCTTTAGAAAAAGATACTGATGAAATTTTTATCACTACTACAATTTTTCTCTGTATCATTTATTCTATAGGATTTTTATTGACTATTGATCAAATTTTAACTACTTGTTTAAGTAAACTAATGAAACATTCAAAGAATAATAAATCCAATCAATGCATTGATCCAATGCTATATGAATTCATTTGTTGTAAAGAATTACCCAATCTATGTTTGGAATTATGCAATCTGTGCCTTTTTTCAATGGGTTGTCAAATTTGTCAATTTAATCCAGAAGATGATAGTTTTGTAATGAATTTTTCTAAAGGTAATTTTTATTTATACTCTACTTAATAACAATGAATTTACTTAGATTTACATGAATGTGAATGTCTCATACTGTATTCCACGTGATTGTTGTAGGTCAACCTTTGACCTGCGTTTTCTCAATAAAGGATTATTATCCAACGTAGCCAATTCAGTGTTACTATTCATAATGCTATCACGTGATAAGTATAAGATGATGATTGCACGATATTATGAACTGACTGATTGAAGCTAAACATGCTTGCTGTTGAGTAGTAGTTCCATGCTAAAATGTAAAAGTTGTATATTTGTCTATTAATTCATACAATTTTTTCTTCATTCTACAGACTATGTGACTTCTAATCTATGTTTACTCAGTTAATGTAATCTATTGTTTCCTATCTTGCTAGTTATTAATGCTTCTAGTTATCTTATAATATGGCTAACCGATATATTTGTAATGAAAGTTGTTGTTTGTCACTTTGTAAATTAAGTCTACACATACTTTCTGTCTTTCTCATTATCTAATCATCAGTTATATTAAATTAAAATCTGCACTTCAGCAATATTATTTTATATATATTACTAATATGGAGATTCCAAACTAACAAGTTAAATAGTCAATAACTTCCAAAGCATTTTTCGGCATAGTCATATACTCCATATGGGATGGTAATAGTATACATTTGTTATCTGTCATCATGTACTGTGTATATCTGTACATTTTTTTCTTAATATTTCAAGGTGCCTGTTCATTTCGAGAATTGGGTAATGCGATTTTTAAAACTGTTACGTTAGCAAGACGCAATCAATCTTTAACAATGGGGTGAGATTTTTTTCTTTTTACCTTGTATAATTCATGTCAAATATATAGTGTTGAACCTTTACTGTCGAATGATATTTAACGTTTTTGATTATTAGCCGAGTATAAAATAATGAAATTCGATAACTGTGATGCAGGAACCTCTTATAAATGATGGGTATTCCACACATATATAGCATATTCGGATCGGAATAGGCTTTGTCTTCTAATCTATTTATTATTTTATGTTATTGTAATTTATCTTTTTACCGTTTTTAAAACTATCTTAAATAATTCAACGATAGTGTATCTGTTATATCCTAAAAAAAAGCAGATTCTGGTTTTCCGTATAAGCCTGTCTGTAATCGAGCAGTAGTATTCTCCAGTCTAATTACTGATTAATTCGTCTGTAGGATCAATGAGGTATTTTGCTAATGACTTAGTGACTGATAGAAAGGCCGAAACTTTAACGCTTATACATCTTCGAGTTATTTCCCACCCAGTGCCCAATTAGAGGTAAGTAGATACGAACTCTACTATGTGGCCGTCTAGTTAAATGAGTTAACTCATACAATAAAATATAGAATAATTTCCTGACTGCTTCATAAAGAGGAAATTACAATATTCACATAACCTTATCATTCATTAATGTCAGTGCGTTTATCAAGTATAGTTTTATGTTTTTAATATTTCATTCTATGAGTTGCATGGTTTTGTTGTGAAGCTTTTATTATTCTTTTGAACATAACATCATTAGAAAGAAGTTTGTGCTGATAATGTTGTTCAGACAGAAGGACTATGAGAGTTTCATGTTTAGAGAAAATAAAATACTACCGAAATATCACTCATCTGAGCTACAAATCCTCACCGTCTAACGGTCTTATAGTTTAACTTCTGATGGTTTGGTTGATATTTTGATTGGAATTTGGATACGTGCATCCTGCACGAATTAACTCATAGGAGCTATTATAACACAATTTCACTTTAAATAGATGAAATGTGATTAACAGTGAAATCCAAAACCTGTGTTTTTGTCCCATTTGGGACTTCTCTGACTAAGTAGATAGCACGTTGACATTTGGAAAGAAAAATATCAGTTTCGAATCCCAGATTTTCAAAATTTTCATGTCTTTTTTTTCTTCCTCTTTCTTATTTCCTATTAACTTTGATTGTTTTTATGTTAGCCATTAATCTCGTAAATAAACGTTTAACATATATTGTTGAAAATCTTTGACATTTTTGAAAGTCGATACAATGCATTTTTTGTCTGTCATATTAGGTTGTATGTTTTTGGATATATCAGTACATTCTTCGATTTGTCAATAATTGTTTAGTATCATCAAAGTTATTTCAATAAATTTTGTGATCAGTCAGTCAGTCAGTTACAACGTAGAACTTCGTACATGAGTACATAAGTTCAGGTGGCTATACAGCATCAACACAGAGACGCAACTGTCGGTTTAAATCCAATAGTGGTAGAGGTAGTAGAAGTATTAACAGTAATGGAGAAGATTAGGGTTCAAAGATCTTATTCAAGAAGTATAGTTCAGCGAAATAAACTTGGAAAGAGAGAATCCAGAGGATTAGGATTTGAAAGAACACAAAGAATGGATGCACCTGCATCATCTCAAACGGTTTTCAGCCATGTCATTCAAGATCTCTAACCATCGATTACTATCATCTCGAGGACACGACCAGGTAGCCTGCACCTACCAACATGACTCAGTCCACTTGTCAGTGACTTCATCGATTTGTGTCATGTTTTGGTCTGGCTGTCCCTAGCTTTCTTCCAATCTACTCCTACACCGACGAGGCAGTCGGTGGTTAGGCATACGTAACACGTGTCCCAACTACCTCAACTGACGCAGTTTCAGTACTTCATTTATTGATCTAGCATCTCTACCTAGTGCTCGTTTCCTAACTATAGCATTGTTTACTCGGCTGTCTCAGGATATACGAGCAATTCTTCTAAGACATCTCTAATCGAATACTAACAACCTACTGATGTCCTGTACTCTTTCGGACATGTTTCGCATCCATATAGTAGGACGGAGCGAACTGCTGCTCAGTAAACTCGTCCTTTCGTTAGAGAGAGGTAAAAATATTCCTAAGTCAATGCCTGCATTTGATTTAAAAATCTGTAGTTATAATAATTAATATTATTACTCATATTTCATTATCCGATTCTTTCTTCTATCTACTTTTGAAAAAAATATATTATAATGATTTATATTATATTATAAAAATTTATAGTAATGAAACAGTTGGTCAGTTATCACAATGTCATCTAATTGAAACTATGCATACAAATGATACAACGGTTGAAAACTGTTCTGATATAGATTTATTAAATTCTATTGAATTATTACCAGAATATCAGCATATCATCTCTTGGTCATGGAATACTCTCAAAGTAAGTCGTCAGTTTTTATTGGTTTATTTATGCAACACCTGAATTATTTAAATTTTGTATAAGCAAGAATACCGACCATACGCCAAACCGAAGAAGGCACCACCTAGCTTTCGACTCACTGTTACTAGTTGTGATCGGGTGTGTAGTTCGCCAATTTAGAGAGTACATAGCTGACGTGAAATAGGCCAATATACGATTCCGATCGGTGCATTGGTTATTGGATTATGGTTACAAGATAGAACTCAGCTCATTCATTTGAATACCGATTCATGTACTCAATTTTAAGTCATAATTTAGATAATCACTGGTACTACTACCCAGCTGCCAAGGGTAAGGTGATAGGTTGGAGTCCGAAATTGCGATTGGCTAGGCGACTCTAGGCACATAACATGTATGTGCTCACGTGCCATCTCAAGGTCAAGCGATGGGTAAGAAATTAAAAACAAGGAACGCTGTTGCCAGAAGTCAGTTGTGCTGTTAGACAAAGTTTCAGCTTAGATATCTTTATCTGGGTCATGAGAACAAATCTATGAATGCAAATAACGTATTTCTCAATTATTCGGCGTTTTCAGGTAGCATCTGTAAACCCTGTAGGGTTTAGTGTTAGTAGAGGTCGATTTCTGTTGCGAACGTTAGATCCTCAGAACTCACTTGATAAACGTCCTAATTTTGGATTTTCTGGTTTCGCGCATGGATTGACCGCTTGACCCTGAGATTACGTTTCCCACCCGGAAATCCTTGGCTTTTATTGGTTGGTGTATTATTTTAGTACGCTATTTTTGTGGCTCTACTAAGGACGTTTCTATCATGCATAAATAAACTCGATTTATGTGCTTGTCAACCTCATGTTTTCTGGGTGCCTGTAGAATACCCTTTCTACACCATATCAAGACTTCTTCCTCTACTTAGTGGGGCCTTGGGACTCTCGGATTACAGTAGTCTATCGTGTCACTGGGTCATTTGTTTTCGTACTTGTTTACCGACTCAGGTGAACTCGTAATAGTTTCAAGCTTATCAGTTTGACGAGTATAACAATTTCATTCATCAGTACTTTGTTATTTAGTAAAAACTTTTTCTAGTTGAAAATAAAGAAAAGTATTAAACTTCACATGAAATTGTGCTATGGTTTGATTGGTTTTCACTTTTCACTAGTAGTAGTACACCAGAAGACGAAAGAATAATCTTTGTACACACATATGTTTAACATAAACAAAATTGACAGTTATGGAAAATAATTTGATAAGAAGATATTTGTGTAAATTAACTAAAAAGTAGTATTCATTGTAACTAATAAATAAATAATGCATACAAATGTACTATTGAAAGCTGATTTTGAATCACGTTTAATTTGCAACAAAATACCACTGGTTATCTTATTATTGTGTATGTATGTGTGTGTGTGTGTCACAAGTTTGTATAACTGATTACAAAACAAGGTTGTGGCAAAAGTAAATAGATCGACAGTTGTTTAATGGTTGTTTTTTTTCAATAAATTTTTCATCCTCTATCGATTGATCCAATTGTGTGTTATGTGATTATCCATCTTTGTTCTTTATTTTGTGGTTCAATGATAGTATTTTGAATTTCTTAAATGATGTATATATATATGTATATATATATATGTATATATATATGTATTATTGGTGACTTTCGTCTCGCAGACCCAATGGTTAGGGATCTTGAACGCGACATGTCTCTAAATCGTTTGCAATGACGCAGGTGCATCCACTCTTTGTGTTCTCTCAAATTCTAACCTTCTGAATTCCTCATCTTTTCCTTCTCTTTCTGAAGTTCACTTACTGGATTGTACTTCTCGAATCATATCTTTGAATTCTAATCTCTCCGATTACTGCTAACACTACTTCTACTACTAACTCTACTACTATCGGATTTAAAGTGACAATTGCGTCTCTATGCTAATATCGTTTGGCAACCCGAACTGATGCACGTACGTACGTAAATACGAAGTTCTAAGTTGTAACTGACTGACTGACTGTTTCATTTGTATAGATACTTAGATTGGTTGTGTTCTGATAGGTTATTTTTTCATGTGTTGCTTGACTTGAGAATACACACTATCTAACACAAAAAAATTTGTTACTCTATATGATAATGATGACATAATTGGATCGATTGTTATTTATTTCGGATTTATTCACTAAAAATATGATTTAAGGATCCACTTTTTAATTAGTTTTTCTAAAAAATCTAGAAAATATAGCCGTTCCATTACTAACTTACTAACTTACGCATGTTACCTTTAATGGAGCGTAGGTCACGGACCATCGTTCTTCAAACTACTCTATACACTGGGCTTTTTTCAGTCCTATCGAGTCACTGATCATTCTTTTGATGCCTGCATCCGATTCTCGGCCCTCCTGCTTTCCTTCAGCCTTGAGAATTCTAAGTTAAATCCTTCCATTTTAAACTCTGCATGCATTATGTTGAACTATTTTACTATTGTTGAGAAAATAACATTTGATTTCTTTTGTTTCTGTAAAAAAATAGTATCACCTAATAGAATCATTTTCATTTTTTCCTTTAACTCTCCTTAATTTTCAAATAAAACATTAGTTCTGTTCCAATATTATTGCGAATTGGTTTGCTATTCAATGTAAATTGCTTAAAGACAATATGATGAGTGTGGAGCAAAAATTGCTATCTGCTAAAATTGGCTACCAATTATTACATCAGTTGTTACAATGTCGTTATAAGGTATGTTGTTTATCTTTTTTTTTTACCGCTTTACAGTTTGAAAATAAAAAAGAATACTTCTTTATTTTGGCAAGATAGATATATACGAACATTGTGGGAAAGATTTGATTTTGACCGATTTGGTCTCGTGTTCTGTTACGGGTATGAGGGCGGTTGTCACTTCCCGGCTACCCACACCATGGAAGAGTGTTTCTTGAGGAACCTGAAAAGGAAGATAGATTAGCGTTGGTCTTGGAGACCTGGGAGCGTGACCGCAGAGTCCAAGGGACAACTGCTTAAGGCCGGTCACACACGACCTTTTGATGAAAGGTTTTTTGAGTATTAGCTCCACTCTTGAAAGCCCTTAGTGGGAACCCTTACCCCCGGAGACGGAAATCCGTGAGGTAGGGTGAGGTGTGACATTTTTACGGTCGACCTTTTCTAACCCTTCCTTCCTTGTGAGAAGGCAGCATCGCTGCAGATGCTGGTTGTCCGAGGGAAACACCTTACTGCTGTCACACTCCTCTGCAGTCAGTCAGCAGTACGACTTCGCCCTCAGACCTTGAGTAGCTGCTTTTAGTCTGATCGTTCTCCAATCGACCTGCCTGTCATGGTAGAACCTTCAGGAACATATGTTGCAACCAATATAGCTCGGTTGGGTCGTCACGATATGCAAGCCCGACCACCACGTCAAGGTAGCGGCTACGGTTGGATTGATTGATTGATTGATACAAACCTTGTGCCTTTTCTCCCTTCTTGTAATCGAACACGGAAAATCCAATATAAAACTGCTTCAATTTGTATGGGCTTGAATTATCTCTGTTATTGATACAAACCTTTGCATATCAAGTTCAGTTATGAGTCATGATGAATATGACTCAGTAGATTAGTTGAAAACGTCTTAGGCATTTGAAGCGAAACTCCCAACGTAAACACTAACATTGGAATGTAGGTATATTTAGCTAACAAGTCTCAAGTGGGATTGAATACTTTTTTTTGGATTTCACTACTAAGCATAATTCTATCTATTATACTGCTTCTATCGAAATAGTTTAATGCTTTTGTGTACCGATTCCAATCACTGTTCCTTCAGAGGATGTTGAAAGATATCTGTATCATTAATAGGACGCACTGTTGTTTGAATGAGCATTTATTGATACCAGTTTCAACTCAATAATTTTTTAATAAAGATAGTCTGGACGATTATTAATATTATGTTGATATTTCTTCGTAAAAATGTTGAAAGTTTCTTGTTTTAGTTTATAAGCTTGAATAACCAAATAAAAACATCTGAGATTGCGAATCTGAGTGATCCAAACCTGAATCCACTATAAGTAGTATCAATGCTCTTAGGCTTACAGATGCGCCTAGCTAACGTGTACGTAATAGCACGAAACCTAGCTTAATCAGGGCTTCTTAACGATCATCTCTAATAATCTAACATGTTAACATAGTAGACGTGATATTAAATGCCAAAGATGAGTGGCTAAATGACAACCTGATCGCTAGGGCTAAACATACAGGATCAGTGACCGGTTAATTCCAGTTGATAAGTCACTGAGGTATTATAAGTCGAATATTGACTTGTTTGAGTCATACGTATCGAAGTAAGTGAAGTATCTTTCCATCTATTCATCTAGTTAATATAAATTAAGGATTACGAACATTTTCTTTACGTAACTCACGAATGTTTTAGTTATTTGCATTCTGAAACTTACATTCAATGCAATTCTCTTGTTCATTTATTTTTCAGGGAACTATAGAAGCATTATATTACAATATTTTTCTTTATTTACAAACTGTTGAAAACTATCGATCTTCTTCTTGTGCTTCGTCATCAGCAACATGTCAAGAAGATGCTTTCAAATCATTAGTATTGAAAATGGATTGCAAAAATATCACTACTGATATTCAATATTTATTGACTTGTAATGATGCTATTTCTGCTGATCATATGTTACAAATATGTTGGCATGTTATTTGTAACAGTGCTTATTCCGTTACTAGACGTGCTGCTGGTCTAAAACCAGTTATACGTGCTTGTCTTTTAGTGAAATCCTGTAATGGACTTGAAAATCCTGTAAGTTATAGTTAATTGAGATTATTACACATTATAAGTATTATGTGTTGAGATTTAGTGTTTGCTGAAATATGTTTTACTGTGTTTATCATCCATTAACTGAGCAACAAGTTGCTACCCGTAATATCTCCAATTTTAGAGGTATGTATTTATTCGATTCAATCAGCTACTTTTGTGTGTGCACTTGATTGTTTTCGTACGATTACATTCTGTTAGCAGTGTAGTCCCTTCTGTCATTCCCAAAGAAAGTCTTCAACATGGTGTTGTTAAACAGAATGAAGGACTTCGTAGTTGCCCAACTTCGAGATCAACAGGCTGGATTTCGTAGGGATCAATCGTGTACCAACCGAATTGCAACAATACGGATCATTGTGGAACAATCAATCAAATGGAACTCACCACTCTGCATCAAATTCATTGATTACGAGAAAGCATTTGATAGCGTGAACAGGACAGCACTATGGTGGCTTCTTCGACACTACGGCGTGTCTGAGAAGATAGTCATTATCATACGGAATTATGATGGATTAAACTGTAAAACTGCATCAAGGACTGCTGACAGACTCACTTGTGGTTAAAACCGGCGTCAAACAAGTTTTCTTACTCTCACCCATTCACTTACTCTTGGTGATTGACTGGATTATGAATAGGTCAACACCTGGGAGGGAAACACAGGATACAGTGGACAGCTAGGATGCAGCTGGACTATCTGGACTTCGCTTGATAGGGATGCCTTGGAGGACGAGCAAGGTGCATCCGATGCAGATGTGAAGGCGCGGATCGGGAAAGCAAGAGCTGCATTTCTACAACTGAACAACATCTGTAACTGAAAAGATTATCAACCAACACCATAGTCAGAATTTTCAATACAAATGTCAAAACAGTTCCATTGTATGGGGCAGAAACTTGGAGAACAACCAAAGTCATCATCCAGAAGATACAAGTATTTATTCACAGTTATCAGCGCAAAGTACTTCGGATCGGTTGGCTAGGCACCATCAACAACAACCTACTGTGGGAAAGAACAAGCCAGATTCCATTTGAGGAGGAAATTAGGAATAAGCTGTGGAAGTGGATAGGAGACACATTGGTCGGTGGCCTATTCTCCATTGGAGGTAGCAGGCGTAAGTAAGTAAGCAGTGTAATCCGAAAAGTTGTGTTTGATCCTTCCTTTTTGAAAGCCTAATTTTGATTCACTTACTAGAACTTATGCTTTATCAGTAAGACAATGAGGATTCAAACACATCTGGAATATTTCTTCAGGGTGATAATTACACCTTGAAATCGACTGCTATATATATACTAATCCGCATGATATCCAAACTGATCTGTTTTCCTCAAATGTTTAAGGGGTTAGTGGTGATTAATCAGTTTCATAGTTCATTTCACAAACTGACCTTAGTTAGAAAGCAATCGAAATCTGAAAAGCACTGTATGGATATTTCGTTGAAGTATGGGACTGCTCTGTAGCGAGCCTCCACGATCCGATTGGGTGTCAAACACAATAGCTTCAGGTTTCTCTGTGAGCGCTCAATCTCCAAGCAACTGAATCAGCACTCAGTGGTCTAAGTTTCAAACTCCAGTTAATTTAAGATATTGAGTAACTATCTTCTAACACGATTTGTGATTGCCTTACACCTCTCATGGTCGAATTCCAGTCGTTACCTATTCTCACGAGAATACCTAGTTGTGCTAGACATTTGTTTTTAAAGCTTTAATTTCAAAATCCTAAGCATTCATTATCGCATAATTTAGCTGGTTACATTTATCGACAACTATCAGAGAAGATGAACTTAAAACTCTAAGATGGAACATCGTAGATGCGCTGTTTATTCAAAGATATTGTTTGCTGCTATTTAATTATGACTACCGTTTTTACTGCCAACTTAAGTTTGGAGTTATAAATAACGTCGGTTACAACAATATCATATATAAGTATTTCCTATTTGTTTGTGTTTATCTTTCTTGTAGCCTTGTTCACTTGTTTGTTGTTTAAAACGTTTATTTGCAATTACACAATCAGACGATAATGATGAATATAATAATATGCACAATACTACCATTAATCAAACTGTATCTGATTCAACTACACTTCATGATTCACCACGAGTATTTGCTTTGCATTTACTACATGGACTATTCACCGATGCTCGATTACGTGTACATGAACATCCTGTTCCTATAGAAACTGATGATAGTCTATCACATGTGAAAAATTGGACAATTGAAGCTCTTCAATTAGCTGTTATTCCTGGTTTCAATTCAAAAAATTGGAATGTTTGGAATGGTGCTCTTCAACTTCATAGTAAGTATTAGTGTTTATATTTTTGTGCAAAACAATTTGTTCAGATTAAAGTTTATAAGTGAGTTTCTCTTTTCTTACGAAATTCGTATGTCAACTTAGTTAATTAATTATATTCAAAATATTTTGCTGTGTTGTGGTTTTACAATACACCACAATTATATTGGTGATAGAACAGCACAATAGCTGTCAGTCGTACGACAGTCGAACGTAAAGATGATGGCTTCAAATAGTGTATTCATGTAAAATACATTTCAAGCAATATGAGCGTAGCCAGATTGTCTATGATTGGTTTATTCAATCAGCCACAAGAAAAAAAGCGGTGAACCGTGATTACTAATAAGTAATATAGTCATAAAACAAGAATTCCATACGATGTAGTGATTCTACATTAACTGAGGTGGTTGGGACACGTGTTACATATTCTCAACCATCCATTTCCTCGATGGAAAGTGATGGCTGATGTAAGAGTAAGTTGAGAAAAGTCAGCGACAGATAAGCCAAGAGATGTCATCCGTTCATAATGTTATTAACAAATGAACTGAGCAATGTATGGAGGTATAGACCAACCTAGTTAGCCTCTGCACGATTATCGTAGCCAGTGGTTAAAGGCTATGAATAACATGACTAAGAATCATTCCTGATGGCGCGAGTGTATTCACTCTTCGTTTTCATTTAGAACGCAAAGCTTATACCTTTTTTTGCATCTAAAACTTTGTACTATTATTATCACTGATATTTTTATTACTCCTATTACTTTGCGATTTGTCTTGGGGTATGGCAAATTAAATTGATGCATTTATCATGTTGTATGCTAAATATAGCTGACTGACTGAAATTTCCAGTACTTCCTTGTTCATGTTATTTCCATACCATAAGCAGCAGCAGCAGCAGGACTTCCACATACACGGAGCGTAAACCGAGTTGATTCTCTGTCTGGAGACGGTCAAATCAAGTTAATGATTTTGCTCGAATCCTGTATGCGCGTTTCGGAGACGCAGCATACATCGATGGCACGGGATTCCAGAGCCATTTAGCTAGGGAAGTCTGTTGCCCTAGTTGACACAAGGTTCAAACATTAAAAGCTAGGGGCGGCCAAACAAAACCATGGCACAAATCCATGAAGTCACTGACAAGTGAGCTGAGTCATGTTGGCAGATGTAGACTAACTGGTTGAGGTCTGCAAGTTGATAGTAACCGATGGTTAGAGACCTTAAATCACATGGCTCAGAATCGTTTGCAATGGCGTAAGTGTATCCACTTCTTGTTTTCTCTTAAATTCTGATCTGAATTCCTCATAATCTCTATCTTTCGCTTTCTAAATTTATTTCACTGAATTATATTTCTTGAGTCATATCATCGAACCCTAATCTTCAACATTACTGTTAATACTTCTACTATTTCCACCACTATGGGATTTGAATTGACAATTACATCTCTGTGCTGATGTGGTATGGCAATCTGAACTTATGTAGGTACGTACGAAGTTCTGCGTTGTAACTGACTGATACCATAATCATTAGTAAATAGTTTTAATTGTAATATACATTAATGCTATCCTTTATTTATTTATTTAATTTCAAATTTAACAGGTGTATTAATTTATCGTCTGACTGGTAGTATAAGTCATGATTTCGAATTTCCACTAATTTCTGATGTCTGCTTTCAATATCCTCAAATGTTAGATATTATATTGAATTGTCTGAATAGTAATTATCAGAATTTATCGTCTACACAAGCTTTAATACCAATATTGACTTTAATTGTTAGATTCTCTCCATCATCTGATCATTCATTGTTACAGTAAGTATTAGTTTTAATTAATTAATTAATTGATTGTAAATTTATTCGTCTTTATCTTTTTTTTTACAGTTAAGTATTCAAGTACAAGTTTGAATTAATTCATAATTATTTTATTTATGCATGAAAATTGAAAATTTCACTAAATTGTTTCATATAGTTTAAATGTAATTGTGTGTTTGAATTTGCTCATATTTCATAAATCAAACTTTGAAACCAAGAAATTTTTCAATGGTTTTTTAAAGAAATTGCACCTATTGAAAGTAATAAGTTCTAATATTGTTCGTAAATATCCATTAGTGTTATTAGTTTAACGACTTTAGTTGAATTAATATAATGTACTTATGTAACTGATCGTTTCATTTTAAATGGACAGGTTTCATAATGATTGTTCAGCTGTATCTCTCTATATTGTTTCCACAAAATGAGATACGGGTATTGATTTTGACCGATTCGGTCTGGTGTTCTGTTACGGGTATGAGGGCGGTTGTCACTTCCCGGCTACCCACACCATGGAAGAGTGTTTCTTGAGGAACCTGAAAAGGAAGATAGATTAGTGTTGGTCTTAGAGACCTTGGTGCGTGACCGCAGAGCCCAAGGGACAACTGCTTGAGGCCGGTCACGCATGGCCTTTTTATGAAAGGTTTTCTGAGTGTTAGCTCCACTGTTTTTAAAGCCCTTATTGGGCACTATTACTGACGGAGACGGAAATCCTTGAGGTAAGGTGAGGTGTGACATTTTTAGGGTCGACCTTTTCTAACCCTTCCTTTCTTGTGAGAAGGCAGCATCTCTGTAGATGCTGGTTGTCTGAGGGAAACACCTTACTGCTGTCACACCCCTCTACAGTCAGTCAACAGTACGACTTCGCCCTCAGACCTTGAGTAGCTGCTTTTAGTCTGATCGTTCTCCAATCGACCTGCCTGTCATGGTAGAACCTTCCGGAACATATGTTGCAACCAATATAGCTCGGTTGGGTCATCTTGATAGGCAAGCGCGACCACCACGTCAAGGTAGCATCTACGGTCGGGTTCTACAAAATAATGATTCAATTGACTAAGTTACTTAATCAATGAATCTAATGGGTTGAATCCAGAATGAAAATTAAAATCATGAAAAGTAACTAATAATCCTCCATTCATTTTTTTTCATACCAGTCTTCATGTTCTCTAATGTTTGGTCATTCAACTATTCGAGACAAATGTTATCAATAAAACAGTATCTGTGCCATACATTGTGAATTTGACATATCCAAAAAATCAACTCGAATGTCTGTAGGGTTATTTTTTTCTTTAACTATTAAATAAGAACTGATATAAAATTCATGACTTCTCAGCATCAGAATATATACTGATTCAATAGTGAAAATAAGTTCAAATGATATGTGTTTATATCCAACTTAGAAGTAGACAGAAAAAAACAGCTGTTATAAAACTCATCTTTATTCCCATATGAAATTATCCATAGCACTGATATTTATCCTTAAAAAAAATAGACAATTAACCAGTTGACAAGTTTGTTTATTGCATTACGGGGTTGTAAAAATTGTTAAGTTACATATTTGACATCATTGATCGATTAATGTTAGACTACCATTAGAAACCTGGAAGCACCGGGCGGCCGTCTCGTCCTGGTCAGCAGTGCGCATCCATTATTGATCGAAGTTAGACATTAACACCGTTAGAAACCGACTCAGTGGTCTAGAGGTTAGGCGTTCGCGCGCAGCACCGAAGGTCCTGGGTTCCATTCCTGCCAGGTGCGGGAGTCGTGGATGCGTACTTCTGATGAGCCGCATACCAGGACGAAACGGTCGTCTTTCAGTGCTTCCAAGTTTCTCATGGCGGTCTAACATTGATCGATTCATAATTTAAAATGTGTAACTTTGTTTATGTTGTAGAGAAAAGCATCAACTGTTGTTTCTTGTTCTATGTTCTTATAAATCTGGTAACTTCAACTTTCTGCATATAATCATACCTTATGTAGGTAATTGTTGTTGTGATCCGATTTCTTTCACAATTTCAAAAAGATAATCTATAGCCTATGTACCTCTATATATGCTTTGTTAGCCGATAAATTCTTACAACTATTATCATTATTATTAATATTATTATTTTCTTGTTTCAAAAACAAATCAGATCATCAAAAATCAATGAAATCCTCAAACATCTTGAATATATACTTTTCAATCATTACAGTTTACATATTCGTAAATTAGCATCAAAAGCTTATTTAGTATTTTTATGCCTACCAATTGATGCATATTATCAATCTAGCGTCATTCAGTGCTCTCAAAATAAACAATCTTCACTTTGTCGTATATCATGTATTGGTGGACCATTACAACTAATTCCTTATGAATGTTTCATGCATAGTGCTCATGTGAAACTTACCAATCATTCTATCACTAATGCAATACATGGTTATTTATGCTTATTACAATCATGGTATCAGAATAAAACAAATGATATTGTTCAACATTGGAGAGAATCGTAAGTTCATGAGATAATTTCTTTTTCTGTTGATTTCACTTTTCAATTATCGTTATTATTATTATTATTATTATCATTACTATTATTATAGTTTTTTTAAGCCCGTAATCAGACAGACAGACAGACAGATACTACGCAGAACTTCGTACGTAAGTACATCAATTCAGGTTGCCATACCACATTAGCACAGTGACGCAGCGGTCAGTTCAAATCCAAGAGTGATAACAATAATAGAAGTATTAGCAGTAATGGAGAAGATTAGGGAGCGAAGAAATGATTCGAGAAGTATAATTCAGTGAGACAAATTTAGAAGGAGAAAGATAGAGATTATGAGGAATTCAGAAGATTAGAATTAGAGAGAACACAAAGAGTGGATGCACCTGCGCCATTGCAAACGATTCTCAGCCATGTCGTTCAAGGTCTCTAACCATCGGTGATTTTCGTCTCGCAGACCCCAACCAGATAGCCTACATCTACCAACATGACTCAGTCCACTTGTCAGTGACTTCATGCATTTCTGCCATGTTTTGGTCTGGCCCAGCCCTAGCTTTCTTCCAATCTACTCCTACGCCACAAAACAGCTCGTCGAGGCAGTCGGTGGTTAGGCATGCCTAACACATGTCCCAACTACCTCAACTGATGAAGTTTCACTACTTCGTTTATTGATTTGTCATCCCTACCTAGAACTCTTTTCCTAACGACAGCATTGTTTATACGGTTGTCACAGGATACTCGAGCAATGCTTCGAAGACAACGATGATCGAAGACTAGTAACCTTCGAATGTCCTCCACTCTTAACGGCCATGTTTAACAGCCATAAAGTAGGACGGAGAGAATTGCTGTGCAGTACACTCGTCCTTTGTTTAGCAAACGGATATCTCGCCTGCGCCGTAAGTGACGCAAGTTGGCAAAAGCCAGTCGAGCATTCTATATACGAGCTGAGATTTCGTCAGTCACCAAGCCATCGGCACTGATGAGACTCCCCAGATACGTGAATCGGTCTACACGTTCGACTACTCCACTCCCTGTCACTAGTTCAGTAATCAAAACCTATACTACTTTTTTATACATCTAACTTATATTATCATCTGGCTTATAAATCCATGATATTCTTTCGTGACACTCACCTACTGGTTATTCAATTTCACAAAATTGATCATTTACTTTTCTCATTATTTGACATAATGAATAATAATTTACAATTATTTTATCTAACGATTCAATTTATTGATGAAGTATATAATGGTTGTTGTTGTTGTTAGTTTCTCTTGATATTCAATACATTTTTTTCTGTATATATCCGTTCTACTTTATGGCTGTGAAACATGGCCGGTAAGAGTCAAAGATATTCATAGGTTATTAGTTTTTGATTATAGATGTGTCTTAGAAGCATATCTAGCATATCATGGTACAACAGAGTAAGCAATGCTGTCGTTAGGAAACAAGTACTAGGTAAGGATGGCAAGTCAGTTAATGGAGTATTGAAACTTCATCGGTTGAGGTGGTTGAAACATGTGCTACGAATGCCCAACCACCGACTGTCTCGTCGAGCCATGCTTTGTGGTGTAGCAATAGGTTGGAAGAAAGCTACGGAAGGCTAAACAAAACATGGCACAAATCCATGAAGTCACTGACAACTGTTGGCAAATGTAGACTACCTGGTTGAGGTCCACGAAACGACTGTAACCGATGGTTCAAGACCTTGAATGACGTGTTTCAAAATCGTTAGCTATGGCGTAGGTGCCTCCGCCCTTTGTTTTTTCTTAAATTCTAATCTTTTGAATTCCTCATCATCTCTATGTTTGTCTTTCTAAATTTATCTCGAATCATATCTTTCGCTCTCTAATCTTCTCCATTACTGCTAATACGTCTACTATCTCTACTACTATGGGATTTGGATCGACCATTGCGTCTGTGTGCTAACGTCGTACGGCAACCTGAACTTATGTGGGTACGTACGAAGTTCTACATTGTAACTGACTGACTGACTATATCTCAACTATACAATTACGTTTGAAGATAATTTGGTTAACAGTCAAAGTTAATTCTTTCAATGTATTTTTAAGTTTTTGCATTCAATAATCGAATAATGTTGTTATTCATGACTCTTACCAGTTGTTGAAATGTTGTCAATTTATAGACTTGCTGAATTTCAATATGTTTTATCAAAAGAATTGTAAGCTTTTTGGTTTTTAGTTTATCAAATATAAAATTAATATTGTAGGTATCAATACCAATATTGGATTTCACGGTTCCGTTTTAATCGAACATGGAGAGGAGAAAGTTAATAATATTTAAATTATCTATTTTAATGGATAGATAGTCCAATGAGTAGAAATTTCTATTTTTGATGTTTTTTTTGACAAAAATGTAAATCACTCCTTCAAGAGTAAATAAATCAATAAACGAAATAAAAATTAACACAGATTTAAGTAGTAAAGAGGAAATGATGCCTGGTATGTTGAGATCAGTCGCGAAATAGGTCTAAATATATCAATGTCATATTATTTTTTTTTGGACAAGTTGATTCTGTATGAAACATGAGTTGTTTGTTTGTATATGTAGAAATAGAATTAGAGTCACATATGGTTGATTGGACAAACAGTTCAAGTATGCATCAATAAATAATCAGGCTTTCTTTGTTATTGAAGACAGATGGATTTAGCAGTGTATATGAGAAATGTTACGGTTACTGGTCTCTCTGTATAGTTAGAAAAATATTTTTGATTTATTTTGATATTTTTTAGTATTGATTTGTTGGTTAACACTGTCGTGTACTGCTGCTATTGCGAATTAAATTTGTAATTTTTCTTGCTTTGTTTCCTGTTCCTATTATTTAAACTTGTGTTGATTTGTTTCGGTTATTGAATTATTTGTGTACTCTGAAGAACATGACTTGCATCAAATCACAAAATATCAGAGATGAAAATTTCTACTCTTTGGGATATCATCAAAAGTTATAATTACTTTATTATTATTATTATTATTTTTGTAAAATTGACAGTTCTAGATTTTAATTTTTGAAGTTGTTCGAAATCGATGACAGAAGTGTTTACATCACTTTACTATTTTTTTAATTGTTTATGTGTATTTGTCTTTTCTCTAATTTCTACTCTTATTTTCTTAGATTCATTCAATGTTTATAAATTTATTCTCTTTGATTTCTCTTTCTTGTTATTTTGTTCTTGTTTTAATTATTTAAAAGTGTTTCATCCTTTGATTTTATTCAATAGTAGTTACAAGATGGAACATCATTTTTGTCTGTGTGTTCCTATGGCAAGCTTTATAGAATATACGCTTAGTTACTTTTTGAAATAAACGGAATATACCCACTGAGATTTAAATCAAGAAAGATTGGTTTCAGAGAAGAGTACTGTTTTCGGAGGATTCGTTTTCAAAGCTGTACATTGGCAAATCTATCCTTTTTTTTCCTATGGTACTAAATCTCATTATCATTGACAGCATATGCAGATAAACTTGAAGGTGTCTGTGAGTGGGACAGTAGTGAATAGTAATTCTACATCAAGTATACTTGCATCTACTTTTATTTCAGTAGGACTAAATTTTTTAAGTTATTTAATTTGTCCAGTGTATTTATCATAGCTGCAACATTGAGAAAGTCATATGACGTTAAAAACCATAATGCTTTAATTAAGCTATTTTCGCTGAAACACCTATTCTTCAAAGTTTTGATTTATCAGACATGGGAGTTACATAGCGGTAATACCAAAAATCATAAATTTACAATCCTGGAGTGAGGTCCTACTGTCTTTTGTATTCGAGTGCAGTGGCAGTAAATTGTTTCCTATCGATATCTGAATTTCCTGGAAGTCTAAATTTCGAATCTCGTCCATCCTCATTTGGTTCAACCTAATTGGTCGTGTACCATAATCTAAAAGAATATTTAACTTTCTGAACGGATCACTTTGTTGATGAATAACTAACGTAGCGTATTTATAACTATTCACTGAGTAATTTGTTATTTCTCTCCGTATTTCTTAATTAGTGATTCTTTTTCATGACACCACAATTTTTTTTTCTATTTTCATCGGATTATTTTAATAACCGTCAATAGACTATTCAACATAAAATCAGCATTTAATTATCTTCTTCATTGGATATCTATTTCTGCTTGGTTTCTTGCTTATGAATTATGCATTTTGATCAATTCTGTTTACATAAATCATACATTGATTCATTGCGAAGAGAATTATCGAACGGACCTGTGGACAAGATTGCTCACTTTACGAAAATCGATATTTACATTGTCTAATCAGGTATTTCTTGACTATTTATTTATTCATTTGTATTATTCGTGTAAAAACGGTTTATTGAACTAAGTGACTAGAATATGCATTTCAGTATTATTTATTTTGTATTGTCTTACCTTTCAATGTAGAATTGGCTGAAATAGTTGAATGCTTATTTCAAATTATGGCCATCAGTATTTTTTTTTTTAAAAAAAAAATAGTTCTGTGAATGATTTCGAACGAGTAGATTTCTAAACATCTTATCATCTTCATGACAAAATTTTTAAAAAAATATTATCAATTGGTTTTGTAATTTTATGCATTTTTCCTACTATTTATAGTTGTATTGTAGTAAAGGAGAACACAGGTGAGGGCAACCGAATTTTATGTAACGAAAATTACAGAGTTACTCAGTAAAATAGGAAAACCATATCGTAACCGTTAATTTGCAAATCTTCAATCCATCATCAATCCATTGTCTGACATTTCACTATTCATGCGTTTCATACAAATTCCATTGTGTTCCCACTCTTCCTTTCTTGATCTTCCCCCATCTTCTGCTGCCAGACATTACGTTTACACGCGTCATATACTACTTATAAGTATAAATCTGTCTCTACAATTATAGTCAAACACGAAATCGTTAAGTCGAATGCAACACACAACATTTGTACGAGTGGAGTATAAGTTGATATGGCCGCTACTCCAAATATGTGATTTAATAAAAAGTTATTTATTTATTAGTAAATACTTCAAACTTAATTCCGCTATTGCTTATTTTTCTGATACTTGATTAAATACTTACGCTAAACGAATAAAATTCATCTGTTCTATGCCATTGTACATACCAGTTAATATGAAGGATATGTATTTATTGAGGTGGATACTATTTGCAATATGGCTTTTAAGTAGTATGCAGCTAAGTTGACTAAAAGTTACTATCTGTTAGGGGATGTTAGATCGTCAGAACTCATTTGGAAAAGTTCTAATTTTGTAATTTATTTCCGAAATTTCGAATTTTCATGTTTTCGCGCCAAGAGACGCTAAGTTGCCCTCCAGCTTACAATTCCCACTCGGAAATCCTTGACTCTCATTGGTTGTCAGATGTTTTTAGTATGCTGTTTTGTGGCTCTCCCAAGGGCGTTTCTATCATTGTATAAATAAGCTTGATTTGTGTGCTTGTAGAATACATTCTCTATGCCTTATCAAGACTTCTTGATTCAGATAACGGGAGCTGGGATATTCGGATTAGAATAGCCTATCGTGTCACTGCATCATTTATCTGCGCTCCGTTTACTGAGCAAGGTGAACTCGTAACAGTTTTAAACATATCACTCGGTGAGCAAATCACCATCTGAAAGAAGTGTAGAAGACAACTAATCGCCTGCTGGTTTCGCAAATAGAATCCTAAAGAGATGGTGTACACATTTATAAGTACACCAATATTCCATTTAATCTTGATGTCTAGCATTTATCAGTGTCTCATGTCATATATACCAAAACTTAATTCAATATAATGCAGCTGAAACCCAATAAAATAGAAAATTATATTGTATAAGTAGAAATAAGGGAAACAAGTCAATTCTTACTTTCATTTCAATAGACAGTTTTTGTATGTTCGGTAATCTTTTCATATGTATTATTTATTTACTAATAGATCTTTATTATTTTTTTTCTAAAAAAAATTTCTTTCAGCCATTTCATTGTGAATTCTTAAGTGAATTTCATCAGATTTGTATAAAATTATTCAATGAAAATTTATTCTATCATATAATTAATCATGATAATAATAATACAGAAATTAAACCAATTCTACTATTACGTTTTATTAATCTATTAAAAATGGATTCTAATTTATCAGATGAATGTACTTTAAAGTTAATGGATTATTGGATAAATTGGCGATCGTCAACATGTCGTGTTGAACAACATCCTCCTCCTTCTCCTCATGATCATGATCACCTTCATCATCAGCAGCTGCTACTGCATGAGAACAATCTCTTGGAATATATCTATCCAAATGTAATGTGGCGTTTCTTAGAATTATTCAATTATTCATGTCATTCTATGCGTTTTATTGAGAAAGTTTCAAAACAATTCAATGTAGAAATTTTATTATCACGTTTATGGAATTTATGTTCAACTAATGAGAATATTTCTGGTGTACAATTTTGTATTCATCGTTCAAGATTGTTATATTTTATCACGCGTCTACTTACTTGTCTACCATTATCAACATCATCATCATCATCATCATTGAATTATTATTCCGTGTAAGTTTAGATAGTTCGTGTATTGTTTGTTTTTTTCTTCATTTTTCATAACATATTTCATAATTTGTCAATGTTAAAACTCTGAAATATTTTATTATGTAACTCCACAATGGATTCTTTTTTTTGGTGTTACTTGGTAGCCTCTTTTTAGCGAGTTAGTTTTTTGGTGGGATGCGTTCGCCGATTTCAACCCTTTCCCTTTATCCGGGCTTGGGACTGGCAGTAGCCCAAAATACTCTACAGCTGGAGTTACTTTTACTACCTCTATTGCTATTGGATTTAAATTGAAAATCGCTTGTCTGTGCTAATATGGTATGGCAACTTGAACTGATGTACGTGCGTACGTACGAAGTTCTACGTTGCTGTTGATTGATTGGTTGATTGACAATAGATTCTTAAAAAAAGATTGTTTGTTTCGTTAAATAAATTATATTTTGCAAATAATTACAGGCAGCATACCAGTTTATATGGATTAACAGGTTGATACATACATCAGAATGTAACATATGAGCGAGCGACAGAGATATAAATGATAAACTATTTTGAAAAGATATTTGTCATAGGAGTTATAAATAATATTATGAACGTGAATCGATCGGAGTTAGACATTAACGCCATTAGATGCCGGCTCAGTGATCCAGAGGTTAGGCGTTTGTGCACAAGACTGAAGGTCCTTGGTTGGAGTCTTGCGAGGTGCAGGAGTCGTGGATGGGCACTGCTGATGAGCCCCATACCAGGACGAAACGGCCGTCTTTCAGTGCTCCCAAGTTTCTAATGGTTGTCTAACATTGATCGATTCATGATTTTAATTATGTAACTTAACAATCTTCACAACCGTGTAGTGAAATAATATAAATCAATAGTTGCGAAACTGTTGTTTTATTATTTACTAGGCAACTAGACTAGACTATCATATTGAATAAGTGTATCAAATAACTATTCTAGTGATTTTACTGAATATATAATGTGTACAATTAGAGAGGAGGAGAGAAAAAAGAAAGAAAACATGATTTACAAAATAACAATAGCAAAAATCATTATGATAGATTTATCATTTAAATATACAGTTGATTAGTTTGAATAGATCACATCAAATAATCTAGAGAATAATGTAAAAGTAAAAAAGAAAGTCAAGTAAACATAATTCGCTAATGATATTGATGAGATATTCAATGCATCTAAACGATTCACTACTCTAGTGAGATATAGTCATTGATGCTAGGCATTTTGAATTTCATTATCAATATAGACAACTAGTCATTCATCTTACTGTACAAATGATAATTGTCAATTTATTTCGTAGTGAAATTGTAGCAAACGGTTTTAGATTTTCGAAAACAATTCATGCAGAAAGTAAATTTAGAATGAGATAATTTCACTGTTGACAAACAGTTACGAACGCCAAAACTCAATCATTTTTCATACTGGCTTCCATAAACCGATCATGAGAACATTTAAGGCTTCAGTCTACATCTGTAAATTTTTATGGTTCTCCTGTTCATGTCAGTACTGAGAAGTGTGTGGGTGTTCGTATTTTTGTTTCGAAATTGCGAATGAAAACCTTTGCCTACTAACAATAATCAATCACACTCATCCATTTGCGATTGAGTTCAATGTAGAACTACTAGGGTGATTTAAGTTTGCTCTCTTTAAGCCACTCAAACGGAATATATGTAAACACATATATCATGAATTTTTTTCAGTTGACATTTTAAAGATGATAATATATTTACAGATTTCATTCATGCAATACATCCATTCCTTTTACTCTGTAATATTTTCATTCTCTCTTGTCCTTTATTGAATGTGATGCCTGTATTAAATTAAAATGATTTATCAGCGAACAAATAAAAAAGAATTATATCTGAAAAAAAAGCCATTGAAATTATTAAAAGCCTATGGACAAATTATTTGGAGTTCAAGTTTTTTTTACTTCTCATACACTTTTTCAATTACTTACTTACGCTTGTAATCGCCCAATGGAGCATAGGCCGCCAAACAGCATTCTCAAACCTACTCTTTCCTGGGCCTCTCCTTCCAGTTCTGTCCAATTTTTGTTCATGTCTGTCTCCATCTCTCGGCGTAATCTGTTCCTTGGCCTTCTTCTTTTCCTTTGACCTTGAGGTTCCAAGTAAGGGCTTGTCTCGTGACGCAGTTAGGTGCTTTCCGCAATGTGTGTCCTATCCACTTCCACCGCTTCTTCCTGATTTCCTCCTCCGCTAGAATCTGGTTTGTTCTCTCCCACAGTTCGTTGTTGCTGATGGTGTCTGGCCAACGAATAGGAAGTATTTTGCATAGTCAACTAATAATAAATACTTGTATCTTCTGGATGATGGCTTTGGTAGTTCTCCATGTTTCCGCTCCATACAGTAGAACTGTGTTGACATTTGTATTGAAAATTTTGACTACGGTGTTGGTTGATAGTTATTTGGGAATCCAGTTGTTCTTCAATTTTAGAAATGCTTTTTAATCAAAATATTTATCCGAGTTTGTATACATTGAAATTCAACATTTGCGATGTTAGAGACCAAAAACTTCATTTATAACTTTGTTAATGTTTGTATATGTTTAAAGTTCATTTCATTCAATTGTAATCACCAGTAAAACACATGGTATAAACGTTAATGTATGAGGAGTGACAAAAAGAAACTGAATATACGATAAATTATAATAGAATAATGATGAATTGAAAATCTCATTTATATAAAATACACATTGATTAGTTCCTCTACGAACCATAACATCAATGATTAATGATTCAACTTGATACAATACAATTCTTTTTATTCCTTTCTTTTTTTTATTGAGTAGTTTTTTTTCACTATTCTTGTCACCGATGATGCTACTTCTTTAATCTCTCTATTATCGATTTTCAACGATTATTGTAATATGGATTTTGTCAGGCATAACATACATACATCACCTTTGTGCACCTATAGCCTAAATCATTTAAATCCCACTGCTAATAATTATACTCCAATCAGTCGAGTGAAGCTACTAAGCAAAGGTTTTTACTGATAGCTTTCTGGTAAAGAATTTACAATAGTTTTTGTTATGACTGGACATCAATGTGAATAAAAACTATTAAAAATCAAGTAAACAGGCCATTATTAACTCTTCTCAGTATTTGAGACTTTCCGAATTGCTAGATTGGATTCAGTTCATATCCTACATACCTCTTAATGCTCATGATAGTTTTAAATTATGAAACCACAATCCACTTAATTACATTTTATTGTTCAGTATATTCGTGGTATAATATGATCCTTACGCACCATTCATTATCAATCGTCAGTTACTTTTTCACTATTGACTTATTGACTTTCAAATAGAATTACGAAAATCCATTTTTAAAACTATTAACTATTGGATAAATAATTACCGACGAGCGATGTTTTGTAATGTACGGGTTGGCTGAAAAAAAAGCTAGGGATGGCAAAATTAAAACATGACACAAAGTCTTCGCTCAAATTCTTATTTCCTCATGACAGTATATTTTTCTCTGTTTAAATTTGCTTTACTGTTGTGTGCTTCTCGAATCATTTATTCGAACCTTAGCCTTCTCCATCATTGCACATACTTCTACTACCTCTAATACTATGGGATTTGAACTGATGACTTTATCTCTGTGCTAATGTGGTATGACAACTTGAATTGGTGTACATACGTATCAAGTTCCACTTTGTAGCTGACTAACTGGTCATTAAATTATATCATTCTATTTATATTTTTATGATGTATTGATATACTACTTCTTTTTATTGTGAAATATAAGTGAATTCTTTTTGTTTCAAATAAATGCGAGTTTTTTTTTCTTTGTTTTCTGCATACATTGTTTGTTAACAGTTACATAAATCAATGGCTTAATTTACTAACTGATTGTTTACAATATCATCGGTCAATGGAATCACGAATTTTAGCGTCGAAATCATTACAATTATTGGCGGTAGAATATCATTCAAACAGTAATAATAATAATAATATTGTTATGGAATTGCCATCAATATCAAATCGAATTGATATCGTGAGATCAATTTTCAATATATCACAGCGTAAAAGGTATGATTATTGTGTTTTTTTCTCAAAAAAAAATTTTCTGTTTACAAAGTCTGAGATGATTTTTTTCAAACCGAATAAAAAAAATTTCCGTGGTCTTTAATTATTTAAAGAAAAAGATAATGTAGACAGTTGATTTTATGAATTGTTGATTCTTTTTCTCTCCTTTTTTGTTCGAGCCAATTAAATAGACATGTGCTGCTTATGTCTAACCACCGACTGCCTCGACGAGCTTTGTTTTGTAGTGTAGGAATAGGTTGGAAGAAAGTTAGGGGCGGCCAGACCAAAACATGGCAGAAATCCATGAAGTCATTGACAAGTGGACTGAGTCATGTCGGTAGTTGTCGACTACCTGTTTGGGGTCCGCGAGATGATAATAATCGATGGTTAGAGACCCTGAATGACATGGCTCAAAACCGTTTGCAATGGCGCCGGTGCATTTATTTATTCTCTGTGTTCTCTCAAATCCTAATCTTCTGGATTCTTCAACACCTCTAGTTTTGACTTTCTAAACTTATCTCATTGAATCATACTTCTTGAATAATATCTTCTAATCCTACCCTCTCCGATTACTTCTAATACCTTTACTACCTCTTCTACTATTGGATTTGAATTGACAATTATATCTCTGTGCTGATGTGGTATGGCGACATGAACTGATTTACTTACGTACGAATTTCTACGTTGTATCTGACTGACTGACTATTGATTTTAAGATGTATTGTGTTTTGTGGCGTATTTTTTGTTATATTGTGTGAAAAAGAGCGAATGATACCAATAAATATGTTCGTTTAAGTAAATTTAACTAATAGAGATCGATGATTTGAAATGGAAGAGTAAAGTATGGAATAATTTTTCACACTTGAAGTTATGAATTCATAATTCATTGGCTAGGATGTTCATTAGTTTATAATGCTAGTTTGCACTCTGAATCAATAATTCAACTAAAGATAGTTTTCATTGTTTCCTTGCATGAATATGAAGTAACTGAATTTATTCGACAGAAACGTGACTATCCTCTCATAGGACTCAGTTATTTGCAATTTATACATTGCTGAGTAGGCACTAATGTCATATTTGTTTGGTCCTTCTTTAGTGCTGGTTGAATCCTGTCTGTCAAGCTTCTATCTGGGTATTGATTTAAACGACTCAGCTTCGATATACACTATGTTTTTATCCTAGATATTGTTGGAGGTAGTCGACTGGAAACACTGTACCTAGATTGTCTTAGTTGATACTCGTCAACAAACCCTACATGCATTTTTAAATGAACGGAAGCCCTTTGTGTTATTCGAATATATGTCACTAGGCAACTTGTTTGATATCATTCGATTAGTACGTCATTGATCAATCGACGTCAGTCAGTCAGTCACTCAGAAATAACATAGAACTTCGTACGTACATACGTCAGTTCAAGTTACCATACCGTATTAACACAGAGATGCAACTGTCGATTTAAATCCTATAGTGGTAGAGGTAGTAGAAGTATGAATAGTAATCAGAAATATTAGGGTTTGAAGATGTTATTCAAGGAGTACAATCTAGTGAAATAAATTTGAGAAGAGAACGATTTTGAGTCATACCATTCAAGATCTTTAACCCTCACTTACTAGCATTTCGTGGACCCTAAATAGGTAGTCTACACCTGCCAACATGACTCACTCCAGTTGTCAGTGATTTCATGGATTTGTGTATTTTTTGGTCTGAGCGCCTGTAGCCTTCTTCCAACCTACTCATACACCACAAAACATCGCTTATCGAGGCATTCGGCGGTTGGTCGTATGTAGCACATATCTTAACCATCTCAAATGATGAAGATGCATTACTTCATCAATTGATTTGCCATCCTTACCTAGTACCCGTTTCTTAACAACTGCCTTTCTTACTCAGTGGTCCAAGGATATACAGGCAATGCTGTGAAGACACCGATAATCAAATACTACGAACCTAAGAATATCCTCTACTTTTACTAGCCATGTTTCACAGCCATAAAATAGGATGAAGCGAATTGTTGTGCAGTAAATCCGTCCTTTAGTTGTTAGCCAATGTCGACGTAAGTATTCAGAAAATATTTTGTTAATCATACTGACTGATTTCTCGGTTGTGTATTCGCTTTCAAATCTTATTTAATTTTAATGTGCACGTACACTTCGCAATTGCATCATATTATTGTTGTTTTTTTTTGTTTCATTCAAAGATTATTAGATTGTATGTTTCACGGTTTGTTTGATGAATCATTGGAAGTTCGTTCAATCATGAGTAGTGTAATCAATGTTTGGTTAAAATTATCAATAAATCAAATGAATCCTGTAAATTATAATCATGCAAATACTCATTTAATTGCTTTACATAAACTATTGAAACAGGTTATTCCATTGTTATTATTAAATGATATCAATGCTAATGAGAAAAATGCCAACAACATTAATGAAATGCATTCAAATGATCATGTAACATTTAGCGAATCGACAGATTGGTTATACAATAATTGGTTGACTATTATGAAATCAATGAATTGTTTGATGATTGATGAATATGAATCAAGTCAACGGTACGTTTTGGTCACTCATTGTGTTTTATATAAATGTATAAATGTGTACAATGAATGTAGTCTGTTAATTGGAACAACCTATTTTAAGCGTTCTTGCATAAATACAAATGATCAGTCAACAAATTTCCGCTTCATAACTATTTTATTTATTTCTTGATGTCGATTGCGCCTCAGCGGTAACGTCTCAGACTGTGAGTATGAGTCCCACAACGTACATCAGTCCCTTACTGACAATATCGAAATAGCTTAGTATTATAGTATAGCATAGCATAGTCTATGGTTTCGTGTCGTCTTCTTTGAAGCGTACTATATAGCACATGTTTTGATTCATATATTTAAAATGATGGTAGTTTTTATTTTCAAAGTTTCTGAATAACGGAACTATTTCTGATATTTGAAACTAAATTTCAATTAAATGTTAACAGTTAAAGTATTTTGAAAAGATAATTACTACTCTTATTATTGGCACACATTTTCATCATTATGATGCTTAAATGAATTTAACTTATATATCTGCTCAAATAGTTTGTAATATGTAGGTTAATTACTTCAAAACTTGTAAAGCTTTCATTGTTCTTCTGAACCACATGATCAGCACAAACTTCAAATAGAAGTGAAGTATTTGAATTTCTTCACGTTTGACCCTTAGGTTGTGGAGAAACTCGAATACTTCACTTCTGTTATCTTGAAGTTTGTGCTAATGATGTTGTTCAAAAGAAGAACAATGAAAGCTTCACAACCAAAACATCCTCAGTTCAGAGAACGAAATACCATCACAATTAATCCACCTGAGCTACAAATTTTCTTCATCATCTCAAAAACTTCACAATAACTTAAACTTAATATTGTAGAATCTCTCATCCTAACACGCAAACATTCACAAATCATACTTATTTCTATGATGAATATTATTCGTGTAACAAAAATATATATATATATATATATATATATACATCTTGAAATATTTTTACTTTTAGAAATATATTATATGATAGAGAAGCATATAATACATTCTGTGAACCACGTTTACAAATTGATCTATTGTTTACATATCTTCTCATGGAACCAAATCTATCTAAAGAGGTAAATAGAATTTTCTTCTCCTTTTTCTTGTCTTTTAAAAAAATGTTATTGATTCATTAAGTTCACTCATTATCTATTCATTCTTCATTTAATAGGATAGATAATAAATAAATTAGTTACATGTAGTCACGATTATTTTATATTAGAAGTATATATATATATATATATTTTGAAAATTAATTTACGATTTTTTTTATACAGTTAAATATCATTATCTAAAAGAAAATATGTTCAACTATTTCGGTTATTTATTAACATTGTAATGATAAATTTTGAGAATAACTTTTTTTTAAATGAACATCTGGTAAAGTAATCATCAATTAAAAATGTTTCATTATTTTATTATTTTATGATTATTATTATTATTTTTTGGTAACATGATGGAAGAAAAATGGTATTTTCATAAAGTGAGATAAATTTAGAAAGAGAAAGATATTGGTAATGAGGAATTCAGAAGGTTAGAAGTTACGAGAACACAAAGAGTGGATGCACCTGCCCCATTACAAATAGTTTTGATCTATGTCGTTCAAGGTTGCTAACCATTGGTGATATACGTCTAGCGGACCCTAATTAATACTTCTCGAATCTCATCTTCGAACCTTAATATTCTCCATTACTGCTAATATTTCTACTATCGGTACCACTATGTGATTTGAACTGACATTTGCGTCTCTGTGCTAATGCGTTATGGCAACATGAACTGATGTACGTATGTACGAAGTCCTGTGTTGTATCTGTCTGTTTGTCTATTTTAATAAAGTTAGTATGTTAGCTATTGATAGAATTCAGAATATTTGTTTAATCCTAATCGCAACTCATTTCTCTGTTGAATGTATTTATATTCCCAGTGTTTTATTGTTGACATCGGTACTGAGATTTTGTATCTTTCGTTTGAAACGCTTTACTTCTAAATCAGCAGTATTGTCATATTCATTACCTATCGATTAAAGATAATGGAAAAAAAGCGGAACGCAATGCAAACTGTTCATTGAAGGAAAAAACGTTTTAAATTTATGAAAAGAAAATTCTTAACGAGTATTCAATTTACTGATTATTTATAATTCATAGTTTATAGGTTTATTTTAAAGTAACAATGACTATCAATTAAATCAACTTGTCACTACACTGTATGTATCCCTTGGATTATATACTACGTCAATTTTCTTTTAAAAGAAATTACAGAAAGTTGGGAAAAGTTTCTTTAATATTGAGAATTTCCTCTATTGTAACTTACAAAAAAACACCTATAGACAAATAATATTGTTTTAAAATGAGATCTTCATCAGGCCTTAATATAAATTACCCGTATTGATATACATATTTCAAAAAATAATCAACTATACAGGTTAATTCAGGACTTTATAATAACAATCAAATAAACTGCATAATCAGTCATAATGAGCAAAGTGTTTATATGGATAAGTAAGATTCCAGATGTTGTATTGACCTTAATTTCTATAATTTGCGCCAAATGTGAAGAATGAGATCGAACCTTATTTGGGAAAAATTGATGGTATGTTATAAATAATTTTGAAAATTATGGGTCAAGTTTGATACAGTAGAGATGAATATAGATTTTATGAAAATTATAGTTGAAAAAAAATCTGAGCGATGGAAGTCTAAGTGATTCCAACATTTCGTCCAACGAAAACTGTCTGGATTTCTTTAATATAATGATGAGAATCAAAATTGTCAGTGAATATATAATGTTTAACAATCAAATCGAATCTGAACTAAACGTTAATCCAATCACCATAACTTTTGTCTACTTGTTTCTTGCTTAACCACAAAGAGAGATGCTCACTGACGCAATTGGCTAGGTTGTCTATTAATAACAGTGATGATAATGATAATAGCAATAATAATAATAATAACAGCTGGAGTTTATTTCCTCAAATTTTAACCTACTCTTCACGTGTTAACTGAAGCTGTTATTATTCTTACTAATGGTTAATTTATCTAACATCTTACTAGCCGCTTAGACTTTTTGCTCATTAAAAAATAGTGGTGTCAGTTTGTTTCATTATTGTCAATGATTCATGAACAGCTCTAATAATTAGTTTCAAAATTTTCAATGATGCATATAAATGCTACTACTAATGTGTATTAAAATAAAACTTGTTTACAAATCTAATTAAAATTAAAACCACTTACTTGATTTGTATTGTTCAATATTCACTGGTCAATTCATGTGGTCAGTGTCACTCACTACTGAACAATGATTAAATAATTAACTGTTACATAATCTAATCTTTTTAATAATTATGTTATCATATGTTTACTGAGAACAGACAGTTTTCTGAGAATGATCAACTTTTTAACTAGCTTCATCATCCAACCTGTGATATACTGCATTAAGGGGATCGTACTGTTTTTTTAAAGTGCTGTCATTGATTTTAGTTTCTTTTTTTTTTACTGTGGAAAATCTTAATTCCTGCTAGTTTACAAGTTTTAGTATAAAAATCAGAGTAACATTGTCCAATTTCTGTTTATGTTCTCAGACAATCCACTGCCATCTTTATCCTAATTACAAAATAAACACGCCACCTTTTTTTATTTATACGCGTATAAAAACGCGCATGATTTTGTCTTATCATACTTTTTTTTCTTGAAAAAGAGCAATCTTTTTTTCTTGTATGTATGATTTGTTCCGTACTGTTTGAGTTATTGTTGGTGCTGATGTTGTTGATGATGATGAGTTAGAATTATTAATTTTAATTACTCACATCACTTTCCTGCTCAATTCTTTATGCTTAGTTTTTTGATTAAAAATCGTTTTATTACATCAATCAGTACAGCTTTGATAATTTACCGACTGTTTTTTTTTTCAATCAGATGATACTTTTTTCTCCCTAATAAGGATGGACTTTATTATACAATCATTTTGTGTTAAGTCATACAGTGTTTATGCAATATGTTTTTGTCTACAAGTGTGTGATCTTCTCTTTTCATCCCTTATTCATAACCATTGTTGATTCATATTTATTTTAATGGTTATTGACTGACTAGCAGGACAGAGTTATAATATTACACTGTGGTGTTTTTTCATAAAATGTTAATATTATATTAAAGATTTTATTACTATGTCAGTTGTTTATTTTTCATTTATAATCTGCATTAAATGTTAGCTACTCCCAAGTGAACTACTTCAATCTTTATTTTTGTTTAACTAATGGACGACACATTATTGAAAGCTTGATTTAATAGTTTTATTGGGTAGTAGTAGTAGTAGTAGTAGTAGTAGTAAGTAAATTTACACAGAAAATGTGTGTATCGTACAATTGTTTATGTATTGAAATGAGTTTTTTTTCATTAAGATTTTATATTGGTTTTTAATTTAAATTTAAAAAATGTCATTTTATTAGGAAGAAAAATGATTTTTTTGCTGGTCAACTGCTTTGTATTTCTATTGTTTCATGGTGATAATACACTCGGATACATATATACATTATCCGTTGATTGATTGGGGCTGTTTATTCATGTTACACGCGTCACTAGTTTATGCTTAATACTATTACGGGTTCACCTTAGTCGATAAACAAGAATGAAACAATGAACCAGCGTCCAGGTAGGCTACTCTGATCCGTTGACTCCAAAATACTAATGAGAAGTCCTGATATAGCGTCGAAAGTGTATTCTACAAACACCCAGCCAACACACAATGAATTCAAACACACTCCATAGAGACGTCCTTGGGAGAGTCGCAAAATAGCACACTAAAACAGCACAGTAACCAATCACAGCCAAGGCTTTTCCTGGTGGGAGATGTGATCTCAAGCTCAACTGATCAGCCCATGAATAACATCCAAAATAAAGACATTTATGGAGCGAGCTCTGGGGATCAAACATCCCTACTAATTCGCCTGAAGGTAATGTTACTCATGTATTAATGATCGGAAACTCTAATAACTAGCGAACAACACTTTCATTCTAATTTTTAGAACACAGTGTATATACTCACAACTTCGATTTGAAATTACACACAAAAGATCGATATCTTTCAAAAGGACAAGCACAATCAATGTATTTCTTTAAATAAGCAAGTCGTAAATCATTCACTGACCGTTAACTATTATTGTTAGATGTTAACTAATTTTTATTTTCTTCAGTTTATGTTGTTGACATTTGCTATTCAACATTTTATTACTATCGTTAATAAATAATGGTTGGTTGACTACCAAAAAAAAACTATACCAAATATGTCAATCGATTCTTTCTAGTTACATTCCTTCAAAATGTGTTTCAATGTTACAAGTAACAAATATTTTCGTTTGCATTGTTTCTCTCATCAAATTCTTCTTATTCGAGTTTGATGATTTTTTTTTATAAAAAGAAAATAGTTTTCAATTGTACATTCAACTATTTGTCTACTGGAATATCAATATAATGCTTTAGCGTTTTCATATAGTCGCATAATCAATATTCTTTATCGATGTTTTCAAATGACAGAATTACCATTAATCAGGAATATATATGTACATATATAATGTTTTTTGTAGTCTATTAAACTTTACATTAAATACTTAGAAATATTTAACTTTTATCCTAGTTTTAGATACTTTGTATTGAAAGGAAAATCTATTTTGATGACTTTAACTTTGTAGATTTAATTATAACTAATGTTTTTGTGTTCACATTTACTATTTACTTACTTACGCCTGTTACTCTTAATGTTTAACGGACCAGCATTCTCGAACCAGTTCTGTCCTGGGCCTTCCTTTCCGATTTTATCCCATCTCTGTTCATTCTTTTTATGTCTACTTCCAATTCTTAGAGTAATGTGTTCGTTGATATTTCTCTTCACTTTCGGCCTTCAGGATTGCAAGTTAAGGCTTGTCTTGTGACGCAGTTTGGTGATATCTGCAATGTTCCCTATCTATATCCTGTGCTTTTTCCTGATTTCTTCCTCTGCAACAACCTTCTACGGAGGAAGGTTGTTGCCTATGGTGTCTGACCAACGCATCATCAATATCGTGCAAAGACAACTGTTCATAAATGCTTGTATTTTCTTGTATCTCCAAGTTTCCGGACCATACAATATGACTGTTTTGACATTTGTATTGGAAATTCTGACTTCGGTGTTGGTTGACGGTCGTTTTGAGTCCCAGATGTTCCTAAATTGTAGAAATGCTGCCCATGCTTTGCAGGCCCGCATCTTTACATCGGCATCAGATCCACACAGTGTATCTATGATACTTCCAAGAAATGTAAACGTTCCCACATCATCCAAAGCTTCTCCATCAAATGTGATCTGGTTGATTCATGTCGTGTGGTATCAGAGTATCTTGCTTTTCCCCTTGTGTGTGTTGAGACCTACTGCCTTTTAGGCTGATGCTACACTGATCTTCTCCTGCATTTTCTGTTATGCATGGAATAGAGCCCCCAGATCATCTGTGAAGTCTAGATCGTCCATATGCATCCAAGCGGTCCAGTGTATCCGTGCTTCCCTCCAGATGTTTATGTCTTCATGATTCAGTCGACCACCATTATTAATCATACTCGCTAAACAAATATGGTACATAGTTTAGTATATAAGTCTGTGCGAGATTACTGAGTTGCAAATTAAGTTTTTATACGATTTGATAAATACATATATGTGATTGATTTTCCCTGTTTACTTGATCTCTACCCTTAACTCACTGTGTATAACCTCACTGTATATTGAATAAAGTATTGTCTAGTTTTTACTTTGGTCCTCTATTTTTGGCCACAAATCGTGTATCGCTTATAAAAATGACGCAATCTTTGTATAGCATATCGATCGAGTATGAAGTCTCGGTCACTGATTATATTATTGTATTAAAGTAGTATGTCGTAGAGACGAGAAAATATTTAAACTGTACGATTATATTTAATATATTTATATAGTTATCCTACTACTTTTGTTATTCTTGTTTACAGAATCTTCTACATGTCACATCATCATTGATTAACGAAGCAGATAATCATTTAAAATCTGTTTGCAATATGAAAGGTTTGCAAATAGAAAAACTTTTGGCTATAGAAAATTGGTGTGGTCCGGTTGTTCCATTTGCTGTGTTTACAAGAAATTACAGTGTTCAATTAATAAATTCACTGAAATAATCAAAAACAACGATTAATGAGATACTTTTTTTTTAAATTGTAAATAATGCGGGTTAATAAATGACTTGATAAAATAGATTGTTATCATTGTGCTTATTGATTGTATACACTTTTTAACATTTCTTAACAAATACTATATAGCGCTTGAGCTGTTTTGTTAACAATTAGTAATGTACAGTGTGTTTGGTGAAAATGGACTTGTAGTGTGTCGATTTACTGCGTGTTCTCAAGCTCGGTAATTAGCTCGTTTAGACAATCGTTACAAACTGGCGTCTGACGGTTATAAATTAGAAGGTGAACTTGTAGTGTTGAATACGTTTATTTTTGGACACACCACGAAGCGAAGCGGAGAAGAAATGTGGAGAAGGCTAATGAGCCAACTCCCAGGATTACAATATGAACGAATGGGCGCAGGGAGCGAATGAACAGACGAAGCGCGTTGAAGAAGGCTATTGAGCCAACTCCAAGAGATAGAGCATGACTAAGAACATATATAGTCAGACGAATATAAGACAGACATGTGACAAGCGAAATAGGCACACATGAATAAAAGCGACGAATAGTTGACAAGGTCAAATGACAAGTGGGCACGTCATGTGAGCTCATACAAACCAGACAATAATACGAACGAATGGTACATTTAAATTGTTGCAATACAAATGGCTTGGTTAAATAAATTAAATCGAAAGGGCTTAACCAAATTAAATGTAAGCGAACTGGAATATATGTGGAGGCACTACAGACTGACACCATAATTTATTTGAGAACTGCGTTTATAAGATTTTTTAAAAGGGGATCAGTTCTGAACATGAGTTACACAGAATTGAGACAGTTGTCTGATTTCTTCAGAAAGTAAGGTTACCAAGGAAACCTGCTTCTTAACTGTACATGTAGACTTAAGTAAGACATAACAGATTCGATGATAGAATCATTTTATTTCATTTGACGAAGTTGTAACCACTAAGTATTTACACATATATGTGAAATAGGTATACAGATCAACATAATTTATTGTTACCTATCTAAAGTAGATAAAATCTGATGCAACAAGGCAACCAGACCTAGCTCATGCAAATAAAGGATAAAGATTTGAATTGACTGAACAGCTCCCAACCTTCAGATCGGTCGAGTGGAATAGTTTTGAAGCCTGATTTACGATTTCTTTTCTATAGACTACCAAAAGAATTTTCTCTGAAGTGGTACTGTTTAGAGTGTCGTACCATTTATGATGGACCTGTAAAACACTCAATATCATTAAATCTACCGTAAATACAGTCAGACAGTAAGTAAACTTTCAATGGCGCATTCGACAATCCAAACTAATAGTGGCGGTGATCAAACACTGATATTTAGTGCTTCATGATTAGAGTGGATGCACCTTCGCTCAAATTCTGATCTTCAGAATTCCTAATCACTTCTCTCTTTATCTTTCTAAATTTATTTCACTGAATTATACTTCTTGAATAATATCTTCGATTCCTAATATTCTCCATTACCTCTAATTCTTCTACTATCTCTACCACTATGGTATTTTAACTGACAGTGGCGTCTCTGTTCTAACGTGGTATATGTCAACATGAATTGATGTACTTACGTATGAAGTTCTACGTTGTAACTGACTGACTGAGATAATGAAGTGAAAGTGGTGAACCATCGAAATGCCATGAATCAGGAAGATATAGAAATTAACTCCATTGTTTGCAATGTGGTGGCCGATATCAGCGTGTTCTTAGTCTTCGTAATTAGCTCGTCCAGACATTCGTTACTAAATAGCGTCTGGCGGTTTATAAATCAGAAGGCGAATTCGAAGTGTTGAATACGTTTATTTTGGCACACCATAAATAGGGATAACAGACCACAAGCAGACCGGACAGGCACACTAGCGAGCAAATGGATCTATGAGTTAATGACACTTTCAGAAACTGTAATTCTATAAAATGTGATTTTTTGTTTGTTTATATAATTTATAAAGGAACTATAAATTCAATTGACAAAAAAAAACAATACATTTGACCTTCATTTTATATCATTTAACATTTGTTTATATTGTTAATTCTAAAGTTCAATATGAATCCCTATACTTTACAAAATTGTAACATTTCAACTTGATTTCAACATGATACTGGTAATTATTAGGTTAAACATTTAAACATCTAATCAAATCCAAGTTTAGACAAGTTAATCATCAATAACAATATTCATACACATACATATTCAGTGTGATTCACAATGAACCATAGATTTACAATAATTCACAAAAAGTACACTTATTAAAACAGTTGTCCGAACAAAAAAACAAACCTAAACACTACTTTATAACGTTGAAAATAAAAAAACTAAACTTTTTTTTTTAAGAACCCATTTGTTTTTACCATAAAAAATGTCTCGAATGATGTGCATGTGCATGAACGGTTGGTTGACTAGAAAAATCAGTATTGTGCACACACATACATGCACAAGTTAAACGCAAAAATATCAGTCTGTATTCCTTACTGAAATTACAATTTCGACAGTTCTGTGATCACATTCATTCACATATTACATACTGTTATCCCAACTACTGAATTCTATGTATAATTTTAGCATTGTAATAAAATGAAATCTTTTTTTTTAAAAAAAATCTCTGACATTTTTTATTTTACTTGGTAATTCATTGTTAATGTTTTAAGTAAAAAAAAACAGAACAGAAAAAAAGTATGAAAATGGTATGGTTTATGTGTGAAATTTGTGAACATTTCAGTATTCATTTAATTTCGACACATATATATTTATATATATATCGTCAATATGATTCGGTGTTGTTTTTCTCACTAGGAAATAGAGATGGGATAACTAGAATAAGCGACAGCACGATGATACTATCAGTAGATGGTAGACATTTTGCGACAGTGTTTACTCGTGAACTATTTTTATCCCATAGAATGTTTTTATTCCTTATAAATTGAAGAAAACAACAAAACAAACGTCTAATCCCTTTCCTAATCTGTTTCCTGCTCAACTATTCTCAGTTCTAGAATATTTTACATGGTTATCATTTTTCATTACGTGTTTACTATCAAAAACGATACGTATGTGTGTGTGTGTGTGTTCTGAGACAGATCTAGTGAAGCTATACTACGCTGATGACCTTGAGCGACCTACAAGCCAATTAGAAAGCAGTGTTTGGTTATAAAAATTTGCTGACCGTAATAAAGTTACCTACCATAGATGAACAGTTTTAGCATGAATAATAGACCTTCACCAGTGAAATTGTTTATTACTGTAAAAGGCAAAAAAGCAACTATGGTTAGGAATTAAGATTAGATATGAAAGTTAGGTGTTGGTATTAGATTAGTTATTTTCACGTTATCATACCGTGAAATTTTTTCTGAAATTCATATATCATGCAGAAATATTGTGCATGTTTAATTTTTATCATACTTATAGCGATAGGTATTTTGTTTAACTCATAAATGCCCTCCTTGAATAATAAGTGGTATCAAAATTTATCAAGACTTTAAACCACAGTATATTTAAGAGGATATATTTTTAAATTGTTCATGCGTTCAAACTCAGCTAACCAATTATAAGTTGATGTCAAGTTTTCTGTTGTGTAATAATAACATTAAGACGTGTAATGCAAAACATAGTAAATGAATTATCTGAAGCACTGTGAACTACGGCTATCACATGTCACTGAGGTACATGAATTTTATTAAAAACGGAATATAGCTATTCAGATCTTTTTAATGTATGATATTTGTATATGATGCAGATAGTTAATTGATCAAAAGTGTTTCAAGTTCATGAGCTTTTTTTTCTGTTTTCGAGACTAATGCATGGAAACATTACACCAATTCAAGTGAAAAGACCATTTTAGATATTTGTACAAATGATCAGCTTGTAGATAGATCTTCGATATACTTTGGAATGGTACTATTGTTTTAACAGATATGATCATAGGAGTCTGTAGGACTTTAAAATAGAATGACAGCTATATAAAATGTGAAGTTATATAGTGTACAGATATCGTGAGCTGTTTCTCAGCATCTTCACTAATTAGAAATATGTCATCGGCATATTCTAAGTTATCTAGCGAATTTCGTGGTAGAAGGCCAACCTCTGAAATTTCAGACGATAAAAGTGTCGTATCTAAAAGCACATCGATGACAAAGTTGGATAAGAATGGAAAAAATGAACAGTCCTGAAAAACTCCGCTTAAAGTAATCAGTTCCGATGAGAGTTCGCCATAATCTATAGCTCGACCAGTGGTGTTCAAGGAGAGAGCTTGTATAAGGTTAATGTACTTCTTTGGAACTCCTTTCAATGACAGACACTGCCACGGACCGTCAAGATCAGTAGAGTTAAGCGCCGCCTTAAGATCCAGGAGTACAACAATTATGGGGGGGTCGAAATGTGTTTCTTTGTTTCAGGACCTGATGAAGAGTGAATATCTGATTCATATCAGATATTTATATGCCAGTGAGAGTAGAAGATATTCGTAGGTTACTGGTTTTCGATCGTAGGTGTCTTCGAAGCATTGGTCGTATATCCTGGAACACCCGAGTCAGCAACGCTGTTATTTAGGAATCGGGTGCTAGGTAAGGATGGCAGATCAATAGATGAAGTACTGAAACTGCGTCAGTTGAGGTAGTTGGGATACGTGTTACGTATGCCTAACCACCGACTGCCTCGTCGGTGTAGGAGTAGATTGGAAGAAAGCTAGGGGCGGCCAAACCAAAACATGGCAGAAATCCATGAAGTCATTGACAAGTGGACTTAGCCATGTCGGTAACTGTCGACTACCTGGTTGGTGTCCGCGAGATGATAATAATCGATGGTTAGAGACCTTGAATGACATGGCTCAAAACCGTTTGCATTGGCGCCGGTGCATTTATTCTTTGTGTTCTCTCAAATCCTAATCTTCTGGATTCTTCAACAACTCTAGTTTTGAATTCCTAAACTTTTCTCATTTAATTATACTTCTTGAATTATATCTTCTAATCCTAACCTCTCCGATT